GTATTCATGCTGCATCACCAGCTCTCAGCACCAACTAGCACAAGGGCCTGCAGTAAATGATTGTATTCAGGCCTCATCCTTGTGAAACCATCTCCATACTCTGGGGAGCAGGACAGGATTATCATGACACAATATTTTTTCCTAAAATGAGCCCAACTGTCAGCCTGCGCCGTGGGACGGTGTTGTCATGCAGACCAGTGCAGGCCTTGGAGCAACTCCATGACCGTGTATAAAAAGCTGCTGCAGGCAAAGCAGATTTGCCTAATGACTTTCAAGGAAACCACCGAGTGGACTTGGTGAAAACAGAACTTTTAGCACCAAACTTAAATAAATGTGGAATTGATGTAAGAAGCAAATGGCATCGAGGTTGTTGTAGGTGATCATCCTTCCAGGCTGCAGAGGAAGCCTCAGACAAAACAAACATGGCTCCAAGATAAAGTATCCTAATTATGTCACGTATCCGTCAGCTATCACTCCTGTTGCCTGCCAGAAATAAAAATGCTGTAGTTACACCAAACTCTCGAGGTACAAACTGATGATTTTACTTTGATTGCAGTGAAGGCCACAGTTCTGACAATGACCAAACAGCTCTCCTTATGAGGAAGCCATGTCTTCTAAACATGAATTGTGATTGTGCTGTAACCTAGTTCAGATGTGTGTTTAGCATCAAAAAGCACAAAAAAGAAACAGACATGTTCACCTCATACACAGAGCAGTATCCTTCCTAAAGCCTGACATCAAGACAAGACAGCGTACTGACCCAGATTGTACCAGACATCCATTTCTCCGCTTAGCGTTCGAACTTCAATGATGCTCTGGCCCAGGAAATCATCAGACTCCCTCTTGAGACGCTGCTTCACCCTGGACTTGATGTCATCGTCTTCGTCCCACACGCGCACTTTGATTCGATCTGAAGTATTGTGGCACTCACTAACGGGAGGAAGGGAATGAAAAAAAGAAACGTGAATTAAATCAGCTATTAGCAGAAGATGTTCTGATATTCATAGGAAGAACAGAAGAGCTGGTGCAGTCTGAATGAAGAAGAAAACTGTTACTAGAACCTTGTGCAAAAAAAATCGGGTACATTTTATAACCAAGACTGTATTTTGGACGTACAAGTGGAATTTCTCCTCCCAGACTGGATTGAGGTTGCCGTAAATGGTCTTGGTTCTCTTCTTGGTCCTGCCCACCTGGACAGTGACATATGGATCACTGGATCCCGTCTTGTCTTTGGCCTGAAGTCCTTGTGCACAAACAACTAACAGGGTGGCAGAGAAACAAAGACATTAGGAACAACCAATGATCCTGAGTTGGACAGGTAAGCTCGATGCTGAGGACTGATGTTGAGCTTCAAAGGTAGAACCTGTGATCGTGATCTTGGCTGACCACCCTGAGGTACCGTCCAACACGCTCTGTTTGATGATCTTCATCTGCTGTGCATGAACGGTTTTGCTGATGTCAAACACTTCTCTGATGAGCTCAAAGATCTCTGGTTTGTTCCTTTCCCTGATCTTCATCCTGTCCTTCATGGCCATGATGATGTTTTGAGTTCGGTCTTCAGCTCCATGCTTAGAGCTCTTCTCCGCAGCACCTAAACAAAACAGATTTCATTAATAGAACAAACCTCACCTCTTTGGGTGTGGCTGAAATGAAACGTTAAAGCTGGTCAATGTGTGGAACTATTTACAGCATTTCTGAAAACAGTTTGGTGCAACAACTCGTCATGAACTGTCGCCTGTCTTGCAAACGCGACGATACGATCTCAGATCACTCAGGAGCACTTCCTTCAAACACCATCTGGACAATACTCACGCTGCAGACAGTCAGCGTTCAGCAGCTCTTGGCACTTTTCATGGCACTTGACTCCACACTCGGAGCAGCGCATGCCTTGGCGGGCAATTCCCCACAGCAGCCCCTCGCACTCATAGCAGTAGGTGGGCGTGGTGGCTGTCCACACCTCAAAGTTATGCGGCGTAGTGCACGATATGGGGTAGATGAGAGCCTGCAGGGTCTTCTTGTATACGTGGTTTTTCTACAGAGGGAAGACGATTTTGGTTGTTTGCATGGAGTTCCTAATACAGAATCCATAAAGACAGGAAGTGAGATTCATACTCACCAGCTCCTCGTCCTTGATTGAGGACCGTGCTGCCATAGCAGATGCGATTCCTGCCTTCCTGGCTTGGACAAGGGACTAAACCAAGAAGTGGAGAATGAAAATTTAGCAAAGTTTGCGTTTTGTTAACATATATGTACAACCCACAACCAAGCAAAGTGCCAAAATATTAGTATACCAGCAAAGATTAACACGATAAAAAGGAGGTGGGGGCTGGTTTCAAGGGTGGTCAGTAGGATTATCAGGGTTAGTCTACCGTATGGTGAACTCGTACCAGAGGATCACAAGCCCAGATGAGTATTACTAGTGTCTACTAGGGCAGAGCAGGCTACTAAAAAGACAAAGTTAGACCAAAACCAACACTACGAAAGACTAATCTGACTTTGTTAGTAGCGTCTTTTACCCATGCGCTTGTCATTTTTATCATTTGTCTGTTAACAGCTCAACAAATGAGGAAAAATGTCAACCAAAAGGTGGGGGAAGGATTTGTTGATTACATATTTTAAGGATAATATCAAGTAGGAAGAAAAGCTACCCATGACCAAGAAGATGCATGCAAATATTTGAATTTGTATTAAACATCTGATCAAAGAGACCAACATGCCATAGATGCACATGTTTGAGGCAACTGTTCTTTCATGTGTCCCACTTGATATTTGTACTTGAGTAGAAAAGGGATTTGCAACTGGTTTCTAGGACTTACCATAGCCTGACCAGGGAGAGTGAACGCATTCAAGAGAGTTGTGGAGAATAGTTTTGGGTTTAAGAGAGGAGGGAGAGAGAAATTAGCAGTCTGATTTCATATTTGTCTCCATTTGTTGATAACAATCTCATCCCAAGTTGGGCTTAAAGATAAAAGACTAACTGTGACCTCTGTGGTGGCCTCACAGATAGAAAGACATGTCCTCACACAGAAGAGCAGAACAAACGGGATGACGTATGACAGTGTATGTACAGCTGAGTACTGACCACATCGCTGACCAGAGGGATAGGCTTCTTCTTACGCAGGTCGGGCATGCTGTCAATTCCATACAGACCAGATGTGGAACTACGCATCAACAAATAGAGCACAGACGTGAATTTAAATGACTTACACGAATTTCTCCTGGAAATACAACATGGCTGCACAAGCGTAATCACACTATTGTTAAAATACAACTTCAGAGCTTCACTTACTGCAAAATAAATCAATCACCAATACAACACTCAAAACTGCAATAAGCAAGTTGTACCTATACATGACTCACCCTGGTTCGGCCCAGGCCTGTCTAGCATGGGGTTCCTCATCTCGAACCTGCAGAATTTCCAATGTGAGAACTTAGGACTGTGGCTTACACATGCTGACATATGGTATAAGAAGAGTGTGGTAATGAAACAGGTCTGGTTGAGCTTCACCTCTCTGATGTCACAGAACATGCAAAGTCAAACAAAGAAACGAATGATGGACCCTGTAAAGGACACTATCAGATAAATGTTGTGGAGCTCTTTACTGGTCCATGTTCTGTGAAATGAGACTAAGACGGCAGTGTGTAGATACACAGCGACAGAACAAGTGTTTCCAAATAAGTTCCTCAGGACAACTGGAACAGACACTTCAGACAAACTTAGAAGAAAAAAATAAAAGCAAACCTTTGACAGGACTTCACAAAACCACCAAAGCTGTGACTAGTAGACCACAGGTTTACGCAATGCCTCACATCTTACTCAGAGTTTTCCATCAGTGTCCGTGCATTCATCTGTGAATTGAGAGCAGAGATCCCTTTGGGTTCACTCTCACAGTATGAGTTGGATAGTGTTTGAAAAGCACAGAGCAGCTGAACTGTGGAGTCACACTGAGAGACTCCAGCAAAACAACAATCAACTATTGACTATAGAGAATAAGTGAAGTGATGGGATGAACGTCCAGAAAAACAAGACGGAGTTTTCAGTAAATATTGTGTGTGTTATGCACACACAAGCATTTCTGTTGACAGAGACAAGCACTACTGGTAATGGGTGGAAAGATGATCACAACTGTCCCACAACATTCAGAATCAAAGGAAAAAACAACTGTATCTTAAACATGGAGCTAATATTATATGAGTAACCTGATTCTCTTCTCTCCCAAACTCTGCAAAGAAAAAAACAAATCACAGAAGAATTAGGAATCATGTTGCGTAGCTGTGACTGAGCACACTCACTAGAATGGGAAAAAAAGAGAAACCACAATTGAACTAATCATTTCCAAACCAAAGTGAGCTTGTGTATTAGATGTAATGCAATGTAGCACACAACATTAGACAACTACAAGTTTCAAGATTTAGTTTTTGCTGTCATTACTGGGCTTGCAAGTGATTAATCAAGAGAAGTTCTTTAAAAATACCTGGAAAAAACTCGTCTTGAGATTGGGAGCCCTGAGACCCTTGGGAGCCATGGGAGCCATGGGAGCCATGGGAGCCCTGGGAGCCTTGAGTAGATTTGGACAGTCTATGACGGGTTAGCCTCTTCTCCTTCAGAATACGCTGGAAATTAGCTATACGTTCTTTGTGACTAGCATCAGTTGGTTTTACTTGATTCACTGCATCAGGAATATTGTTTTCCCTGATGGGACTTAAGCGCCCCTCTTCTGTGCCGAGCACTGGACCTTGTGGGCTTTCGTCTTGCTTTGCAGGACAGCGATCTGGTGTTAAGTCGAGGTTGGACAGCTCTCCTTCTGTTGGATAGTCTTCTTTTCCCTGTGAAATCTCTGCAGAGTGATAGTCGTCAGCAGTGCAGGGAGACTGGCCAGCGTCATGAGGGGATGCCTTAGGAGAGCACGGCAGAGTCTCATGTGTTTCACCACAGTCCACATAGACCGACGTCTCACTTTCCTCCTTTGGAGTGGCAAACTCAGTGTTACTGTCAGTCAGACTAACCTCTCCCTCTGTATGATCTGTACAGCTCTGCTCCTCTCCATGTTCACGGGATTGTCTGACTGGGGATGGAGATGCTTCAGTCCCACTATCATCACCTTCAGGGTTGGAACTCTCCAACTTTTTCAAAGCCCCTTTCAAAGCTGACTTGAAAGTGAGCACAGCTTTGCTAAAAGTCGTTACATCGAAACCTACATTGGGGCTCTTAGGTGTGCTCTCAGAATCTATGTCAGATGACAAAGACTCTCCGACATCCTCCCTGGAAATGCTGCGATCTGTCCACTCTCTGTCCAAACTCTCAGCAGATCCCAGATCCAGAGTGTCCCCAGACGATGGACAGTCATCACACAGTGAATGTGGCTCCAGGTGACCATCTTCACAGTCGGTCAGCAGCACAGTGGAGCAGCTCAGGCTCCTGGAGGGACCACTGCCAAGTTCATTTGCACAGGCATCCATAGTGTGGTAACCAGAACTACGGGAAAACGGGCAGTTTACAGCACAGTCGCATTCCACGTTTTCTTCCTCTGTCTGGAGTCTGAGAGGCCTCCAGTCAGCCACACTGGAAGAACTGGAAGGAGAGTTGTAATGCTGACCAAACAACAAAGAGAGGTGCTCAGAGCTGTTGTGTGAAGAATGACCTGGTGTGCTGCTTTGTGTCTCCTCGGTGGTACACCTGTTCCAAACACCTAGATCATTCTCTAGCTCCTCTCCACTGTTCGCACAAGAGGAGATGTCCTCCTCACTCCAGCCTCCTTCTCCACTTACACTGTGCTGCATATCAACAGAAAGCCACCTGTCATAGTCTGTGTCACCAGAAAGAAAGCCTGCTTCAGCACAGTTGGAGCTGAGACATGATGACAAAGAGCTGGTGCTTTGGTAGTTGCGGCCATCATGAAGCTCCAGGTAGGAGAGGCCTGGTTTTGTATGGCTTTGCATGTGCTCTGCGTTCTCCTGCTCTGTGAGGTGGACCGATCTTAGAGTTTCTTGATCAGCTTGCCATTGTTTGGGTGATCTGTGAGACAATACCCATCTCAAGTCTTTCTCACGCTCTTTGCGTTTAAACAATGGACTGGGCTCCATCGCATGAAGAGATGTGATGGCGTTCTGTCTGTCCAAGCTTCCTCGCCTGATGTGTGGTGTTTGAGCAGCAGGGCTAGGATGAGGTGCAGCTGAAGCCCCAGAGTACAGTTCACCTATTTCACTAAGAACTGCATCGACACAACAAGAAACCTCGTCCACGGAGCCTCGCACAGATGTCAGATACTCCCTCAGGTCAGAAATTTCCTCCTGAATCTTGTTGATGCCTTTCAGCTCTTTCAGGATATGCTCTACTATGTTACTGGAGCCATGCTCTGCTTCCTCATCTTCCATTTTCTTCTCCTCTTCATCATTTCTGATCCTTTCAATGATCCTAGACACAGCATCCTCCACACCTTCACTACCATCTTGGCAATCAGAACTTCGGTTTTCCCCTGATGGGGCGAGGTCAGCTTTGGTGCCGATAGTGTGGACTGGTGAGAGGTCATGAAGGGGCTCATCTTCTGGCCCCTGTAGGCACTTCTGCAGCTTTCTGCGCAGACTTTTTCCAACGTTGGGACTCTGCGAGGTCTTCTTCTGCAGCTCTCGTCTCTTGGGCGAGAGTGGAAGTAGCTCTGACTCGTGGGGGTCATCCTGTCCACTGAGCCGTCCTCTGGGGAACATCCCTGAGAAGTGGCTCTCGTGATCAGCTGTTCCCACACATGGACAAACCACTGGCTCTGTGACTCCTCCTTCGGATGCTTTAAGCACAATCCAGCATCTTAAACTGCATATGAGTAAGTACCTGCATCACGACTGAAGGGAGAAAACTGGATTATGAGTCATTTTGTTGAAAAAGCAGAAAACAACCCATGTGGTTAGCACTTTGCTTTCTCTGCCGTTTCACAGCAGCTAAACATTATTACACAATAACAAGCACAGAGCGATCTTAGATTAGATTAGATTAGATTAGATATAACTTTATTGTTATTTATTATATATTATCTAATCTTCTTTGTGGCAGCAGGGCCCAGCCACTTTAAAGCAAAAAAAGATGCATTTTAAAAATAGTCATTAATGTTAACGTGAACTGAATTTTCATTTTTCAGACCCTAAGAAGAGAAAGGCATGTGCTCACTTATCATTTTAATGAAACTTGTGGAAGTGGAATAAGTATTTTCTCTGTAACTCTTCTGGAATTGTTATTAATAAATGTACTGACTGACAGATCAGGCAGTGCTAACTTCTGACACTGATTGCCTGAAGGTCCGTTTCAACAGTCAAAAGATGTCCACGTACATATGCATCTGTTTTGGTCATCGATTAAACCCTAAAGAAAACGCTTTCCTTCCTAAAATGCCGTAGATGTAGCTCTGCACTGTTCTCTCCTTTAGGTTCTTTACCCACATCTGCTCACTTGCTGCAGCTCGAAGCACACCAGCTCACCTGCGACTCCACTGAAACACTGTAGAGCTACTCGACTTCACACAATGGCCAGTTTAATATTTTAGTAATTCAGCCATACACGTTGGAACCGACAACCAGTTCTGAAGCAAAACAATGATACAGAAAGCCTCACCTGCAAGTTGACGGGATTCGTTAATGAGGTTATTTAGCAGCTTAAATGTGGAAATGCTCAGCAATGGTGTCGACTGCCTGTTTTGTTCATGATAACATGATTCTAACTTATTAAAATATACCAACAGAGAAATTAACAAGGAAAAAAAAAAGGAACAAACTAGATTTTCACCAGAGAGGATCTTCAGAATGAAATGTGATATTAGCTGCTTGATGTTTAGCATATCTGGCCACACATGGAGTCCTACACGTCCTGGTACCGCCAGCGGCAGACAGCACGGCTCTGTACGGTGCAGACGATGCTGTTCAACTGATCTCTCCTCAGTTACAGGAGCAACTTGCAGAACGAGCACCATGCAGCTGCTTAGATCTCTGTAATTAAGATGCTTTACAAAGACAGCACGGTAATTAGATGACAGGTCAATTCTCTCTTCTGAGGCCACGTCTTTCTTTCACACCCATACCAGCTGTGAGGCCTGAAAGCTGCTGCCTGTACGCTACACACCGATTAAATGCAACACAAACCTGTTGCTTGCATTTCTAAACACGTCTGTGCTCCTTCCTTTAAAGCGCAGAATGTACTTGAGGCAGCTCAGTGACAACGTCTTTGTCCGATGAGCGTCACCATTATGGTTCAAAGGAGAAGTTCTGCTGACGGACCTTGAAGCTCAGACAGACACTGCTTGGAGCTCAACCAAGATTGTAAAGGAGACAAAAAAGGTTTTCATAGAACCACAAACTATTAAATTCTTGTGACATGTATTTGCTATTAGGGACATTCTTTTCTCTTTTATGGCTTTATCTCTGAAACTAAATACCCGTTCCAGATTTGACAGGACCTCCTAAAATGTTCCTGCATGAACTGAACTTACTACCACAGCCTTCAGCATGATCAGAACTTGGACATCCTCACACTAAACAATTCTATCTACCAGTTATTCCAGTTATTAATAAAGGGCGCTGGCTTAGCTGGCAGTCCCGACAGTTCCTGTCTCCCCTTGGACAGATGTAACTGTGAATGGAATTTCTCTGTAAGGGATTAATAAAGTACTATTGATTGATTGATTGATTGATTATTCAGTGCATTTATTGTCTGAGCTAATAAGATGACATAACCGCAGTGTGCCGTAGCTTCAGGTTTCCATTCGGTAAACTAGTCCAGAGAGCACGGAGCTACGAGCGGTGCTAACCCACCTCTGCATGTGAGGGCTCCAGTAAGTACTTGAGCAGTGGAGGTGTGTGTTCGCCTGATAAGGGCTTGGTGGGCAGAAAAGTATAATCAAGCCTATCAGGAGAGAATGTTTCAGTCACTGCTCTGAGTTTGAAGATAAGCTGATGAGCTGAAAGGAATCAGCCTCTCCACAATGAACTGGGAGCAGGGTTAAGGTTAAAATAATAACATGTTAGTCAGAAATGTTCTCTTTTTCAGATAAAAATAAACAATACCAGGAATATCTGGCTTAAAAATGTTTTATGTGTAACACACCGTCTACCAGAAATGGTTTCAGAAGGTTTTTAGCCACTCTTCTGAGGACCACTTTCCAGCAGGCAGCCCCGATCCCCTAAATGTGCGCCGTGATAGTCAGCGCTGTACTCATGACCTGTCCAGGACAGGAAAGGATAAGAAACGGTTTTGGGTCCTGGTTGGAGTCGGGGCGGTCGCTAGCTTTTTACTGTGACTCTGAAGTTTTTAAGTTGACTTTGCTGTCAAAATTTTGAAAAAAACCCCCCAAAAAACTAGAAACAACTTTAAACTCAGTCATTTGTAAGGAAGTAATAAGACACAGAACCTTCAGTGTGTCTATGCGTTACAGGCTCCATACGGTACATCCTGTAATAATGCGTATTTTTAATCAAAGTCTGTAGAAATTTAACAGAAATATATTAAAACAGAAGTCTTACCTTAAAGGAAAAAAGAACAACCTGTAGATATCATCTTGCAAGACCTTTTAAATCCACATGGAGCAAAGCTCAGCAGCGGTAATCTAATGGTGGTCTTTTACCACAAGCGCATTAATAAATTAAAAAGTTAAATGTTGCTCTGTGCCAATCAAGGCGTCAGATCTTCCCTTTAACTGGAAAAAGCGCAGACGTGCTGAATGACTGGTTTGTGCTGCTGGAGCGGCAGCAGGACGGAGCAGACCTCCAGCACCGGCGCTTCACCCTCGGTTAAGTAGCCATCCCGGCTTCCCTCCCACCCTCCTGCATGCTTTCTCTGCTCTCTCTCTCCACGCCTGTCCTCTGGCAACGCATTCCAGCACAAACTAATCTGAGGCTGTAAGACTGCCAGCTTCCAGTCTCACTCACTCTGTCTTTTTTCCTGTTTCCACATCTGTCAGTTGCTGCATATTGCGCTATTTTGCTTTCACTGCTTCAAACCTGTAGTTTGTAGAAGTGTTGAATCCTGGTGAACCACGAGCTACCCTGTGCTCAGTGATTTTCTTGCTCACTTGCATCTTGTGAATGGAAACGTGTAAAGAAATAGGAACTTCCATTCAAGGCTTACAGCTAATAAATATGCAGTATGAAGGGCTCCAGGCTCGCCTCTGTGGAACTGCTGCCAAAGCTGTCGAGGAAAGTACCACCCAACTCATGTCATTCTATTGTTTGAACATAAACAAGCATGTGAGGAAGCAAAGAATCACGTCCAGCTTCTTATTATGCTGGTCACTGTGACACTGCTTGACAGATTAACAACCGATTCTGACTCATTCACTGTTTTCTGCATATGCCCTTGGGTCCTCAGTGTTTCCCTATGTCCTGTAATAAATGGCACTTAGCTTTCATCTTCCATTTACACTCGTGTCCTCAAACAGCCACTTACTCACGTTCATCTCAGCCATCCATGCAGGCCAATCATTATAATGGAGCCCTGCTGTCTGCACGACTCCTTTACTGCCACGCTGTTCAAAAGGCTTAATCATGGGGAAGAACCCAGTTAGGGCTGCGAGATTCTGATGATCTCATTATTAGCCATCTCTTAAGTCCAATCAGAAAGATTGGATTCAAGATCTGTTTACATGTGCGAGATACAGGTTCTCTAGAAATGGAATCATACGAGGTTACTATTGGGGCGTTTGCTTCTAAGAACAAAAGTCAAAAATGACACGATAAGATCGAAGCAATGCCACGCGATTGCCGTTTTAGCAGACATTCAGTGAAATCACATACAGAATTGCCTCAATAAGAAGGAGCTACAAATGGTACAGATAATCACCTATTCCTCAGAATTCTACCTGAAGTCACTGCCTTTGTCTAAAAAACACCGTATACACAAATGTGAAACGGATATGGACTAAACACTGATACACATCTTCATCTCTTTCATCCTGCTTTCTCATCAGGCTGTTTACATGTACTTCCCAATAAAAATAAAATTGTAACATTAAAGACTCTAAAAAGTGCAGAGACAACATTTAAGTACATGGCATAAAGTCACACTGGTCATACATGGCAGACATCTGCCATGAGTGACCCATCCATTAATGCAAATGGAGGGTCTCTGAAGCCATGAGTGACGGACCCGAGTCAACAGAGGGACAGCACACTTTAGCCTCACAATTACAGTGTCATGTGAAGAGATAAAATGAACCACTGAAGGCTGAGTTAGAGAGAGGGAAAAGACAGAGAGTATCTAGTATGAGTCACAAACGTAAAGTAACTTAAAAAATCGGACAGTGTCATCTGACCTCACAGTTTGTGTGCCATATCTTGCTGGGCAGCTGTACAGAGGAGCGAGTTCATGACCATGTGGCAACAATTAAAATACCATTATGCCGTTAGCTTGAACGTGATTCACAGGGTGCCTTTGGTAAAACACTGAAGTCCCAGCAGTTTCACAAGTACAGAGGCACTTGTTATGTAGTAAAACTCAATATGTGCAACACACTTCGAGGGCATTGTAAACACCCAGAGAGGTGAAACTCAACCAGTGTCAAAGAATTGCAAGGAGATGATTTGAAAGTCAGGTTCAAAAGGTGTTGAGAGATCAAACACTGGTGCAGGTACAGAAGAACACTGCCTACCTCCCGGAGCTGAACTCTGACTTTATTGATGGCCTTTAACCAACGAACTCTGGCTGGGTTAAAAGGTAATGGCGGCCCATCGTAATGCAATCTGGGTTTAAGAGTAAAGCAGAAAGAAACAAAGATAAACTCAGATACCATGCATCTTAATCGTAGCACAAACAAAACTGAGTTAAATTCTGAGCAAGTCAGTACCTTGGGGGTTTAGAAGATCCTCTCGCTGGTAGAACGTCATTTCTTAAGCCCTTTCCTACTTCGGAGGGCAGCCTTTGTCTCTCCTGCTTGCTAACGGTAGAGTGTTCGATGGGTGGAGGATGCCTGTTTGTGCGTGGCTGTCCGGTGGTGGAGGGGTGGAAGCCAGTACTATGGTAGGAGTGGAAGGACTCCTCCAGTTCTGACCCTCCAGTGCTCTCGTGGCCAATCTCACTAACCTGGGAGCTGGTCTGGCTCAGGTTTCCTGATGACCCAAAGTGGCTACTTTCCGCTGGACTACAATGGTGAGAGAGGAATGAGGAAGACATTAAGAAACAGAAATGGCTGGAAAACTGTTTCTAAGTATTTTTGTAGTTCATATTTTGCCACTAAAAAAGCCCAGAATAGTAGGGATTACTACGTAAAGCCAGTTGTAAAAACTTAAAATTAGTAATATCAGTATGTTTTAATGCTACTGAAAGAATCTGAACAATTAATAATCTTGGGTTGTAATAACACTGACAAGTTAACAATTATCTGCATACACTCAGTTGTAAAAAAAACAAAAAAAACAAAAAAAAAAACTACTTTTAGCAACACTTTAAGGTTTAATTAATGTAGTATAAACACACAGCACATTACGCCCGGTAAAAAATACCCAACCTTGCAAGTAGGCAGCTGCATGATCGAAAATAATGAAAATGTGGAAACCAAATCAATACATGTGCATTATTCACTACAATTGCTTTTCTCTGTTTTGTGGTGTGAGGTATAAAATTCTCTGTTAGTTGTTCGTATATTCATGCAAACAGTTACAGACATCTGCATATTTTACTGTCAACGCTCTCCTTTAGAACTTCTGTAAGGCAGAAGGCACGTATACACGGCACAGAGACACAGGGTTAACGTATGCATATGGACCACAAAACACGCAGAGTTGATCCGTGTTTGAAACTTTACCTTTTTATAAAATGATAGTTTAAAGCAATTTCAAACCAATGTCGAGGTTTAGAATACAGACGAACTAGATTCACAGCAAAAAAATGTGAGTTTAGGGTTCGCTGTTAAGGATTTAAAAAATGGAACTGCTACATATATGTAATTGTAAAATAATATTCAAATGCAAGATAATGCACAAATCAAATCAGAACTCCATGCTTAAACAAAATTTGCATAATTCATAATGTTGCCTACGGGCATGCTAATATTTGATCCTTTAAATTTAGTGAGTGAATGAAATTCATCAAAAACAGCAGTTGAGACAGCAATAGCTAACTGCTGTTGATTTTTTCATTGAAAAACTAGAAGGGCTACAATTAAAATGAATATAAGGTCAGGTGAACCCCTCCATCTGAAATTGTGTGGAAACATGATCTCTCTATAACAAGCTAATGAATGGCTACCTGTATTTACCTGTGAATTGGCCATGAACATGCAAAGTTTGTTTTGGAATTCTGTTTTGACATGACTAATGAACTGACTAATGGCAGAGTTTCTACACATAAAATGACCACATCCAACAAAACACAATCACACACAGACATAAACTGCTAAACTAATGAGAATGGACTGCAGGGCTGGACAGGAAATGCATTTCTTCCAAAATGTCAATGCATCATAAATGGTTAGGGGAGAAGCCATTTATTATGCTTTTACTAGCCTTTTTGCATTCAATAGATCCTTCTTGGACTGGTTGTCCAGCTGCACTCCAGAGGTAGGACCTGCAGAGGGGTGTGTTTCTACAAGCCTGTCCTTGTCCTTTGGGATCAGGGATGCTGAAGGATCTACTTCAGGAGTGGAGATGCAAATCTGTGGGGTTGCTATATCATCTGTGGAACCTACCGCTTCAGCTTTTTGGGCATCAGATGTTGCAACGTTTTGTACAGTATGTGTTTGATCACTTGCTGACTTGTTAGTTTGGGGTTGAGACGTTATAACTGGGGCAACTTGTGGCTTTGTTGGATCTGACTGTTGCCCTTCTTGATGCTCAGCATTGTTGACAACCTGATTAGTTGGGGAAGCTACATTAGTATGTGCTTCATTGGTATCAGGTAGACCTGATTTGTCACTTTCTTTACTCTCAGGGTCTCCTATAATGACCATGGGCTTTTCATGTATCACCTCTCCAACACCTGACTTTTCTGTGTCGGTGTCATCTTTTGGTGCACTTGTGTCAGCAGAGGTTTTTGGAGAAGGTGCCTCAGATGTCATGGCAGGGCTACTTGTTTGATTCCCAGATTTTACTTGTTGGTTCTCTGGTAGCTTTGAGTCCCCGGTTTTGTTGGTTCCACAGCGTGATGGAGGTACTTTTGGTGACACTTTCTCATTCCTAATCTGTGACTGTGAAGGAGTACCTGATGCTGATTTGGGCTGAGCTGGCACTGAATCAGATGGCCTAGGTGGTTGTCCCATACCCCCAAATAAAGACCCGCCTATGCCTCCAAGTATTGATGATCCAGTCTGTGATCCTGCAGGGGCTCCTCCAAACATTCCTCCAAGTAAAGAACCCCCAGGCTGTGGTGTTCCTCCAGCTCCTCCAAACACCCCACCCAATAATGATCCACCACTTTGGGGACCTGCAGGCTTGGGTGTGGCTCCTCCTCCAAACATCCCACCTAGTATCGACCCTCCAGGGGTCGGGGCTGTGGTTTGAGGACCAGACTGAGGAGCAGACCCTTTAAATAAACCTCCTAGTAATGATCCTCCTACTTGAGGAGGTGCTGTTTGTGCATTAGACCCTCCAAAAATACCACCTAATAGTGATGCTCCAGGCTGACCGGTAGCAGCTTGGGGTGCTGTTCCCCCAAGTCCAAACAGTGAGGTCTTCTGCTGTTGCTGAGACCCTTCAGTGGGCGCAGGTGTTGGTTTGAAAAGGGAAGACACAAAGCCTGTAACTGCATCTGCTGCTGAGTCACTGGCAGATTTGTTTGGCTCTGGAGGCTTCTGTTCTAGCTGGACTGCAGGACTTGCTGACTGACTGGGTGGTGCTTCCTCCTCTACTTTAGGTGTTGTTGTTTCTTGACTCAACTGACCACTCACAAGTTCTGGTTTTGCAGGTTGTTGTGCTGGTGCAGATGTTTCCGATTCTTTAGACTGGATATTATCAGCTAAAGCAGTTGACTTGTCAGTATCTTGGAGGCTAGCTTCTTCAGGGACACTGCTGTCAGTTTTTGAGCTTGCCTCAAGATACTGTTCTGTACCATCAGGTTGCTTTATTGTGTCCACCAGCTCTTTGCTGTTAGAATCAGCATCATTTACATCAGTTTGAGGACCAGCTGGTGCAGTTTTAGAGTCATCGGTGGGTTTTGGTAGAACAGTTACATCTGATGTAGTTTCAGTAAGAGCTGTAGCTGATGTTTTCGTGTCATCATTAGATGTTGGTGTTGCAGTGGGCGTTGCAGCTGAAACAGATCCTCCAAGCATTGAAAGCAAACTTTTACCAGGCACTTCATTTGTAGCAGAAGCTCCAGTTAAAATGCCACCTAGAAGAGATGAACCAGTCTGTGCAGTAGAGGTTTGAGAAGGTGATCCTCCCAAAATTCCTCCTAATATAGAGCTATTGTTCTGGTTTGTTGACGCTTGGGTAGCAGTCCCACCAAACAATCCACCAAATGACCCACTACTCTGAGGCACTGTAGATGAGGCTGCAGATCCTCCAAAAATTCCACCCAAAATAGACCCTGCACTCTGAGGGCCAGTTGCCTGTGCAGCAGATCCACCAAATAAGCCTCCAAGTAATGATGATCCTGCCTGAGGTGCTGAGGTTTGAGCAGCAGATCCTCTGGTCTGAGTGGGGCCAACTTGAGGAGCAGTCTGAGGAGCCGACCCTCCAAATAAACCACCAAGTAATGATCCTCCCGTTTGAGTTGCTGGTGTTTGGGGTGAAGACCCTCCAAACATTGACCCTAATAGTGAACTTCCAGGTTGTGAAGCGGGCTGAGGGACAGAACCTCCAAACACAGAAAACAACCCTTTCCCTGGTAAGTCTTTGGGGGCTGAAGGTTCAGGTACAGACCCTGTAGTTGAAGGATCTGTCTGGTTAGCAGTAGGCTCTGTGGTGGGGGCAGAAAACAAAGAAAGCAAACCTTTTCCTGGACCGTCTGAAAGTAATCCAGTTGAAGATGGAGGACCTGATCCAGTGATCATAGATAACAAACCAGAAGGTGGTGGCTCTTTAGGAGGAGCAGAATCCTGGGCTGCACTTTCTGTATTTGCGTCCTTATTCACAATGCCACATTCTGAATTTGGCACCTTGGATGCCATATCAGTGCCTTCAATTGTGCCACCTTCTTGAGAATTATTTGTAGTCACTACAGTAATATCAGTGGATGTACTAGCTTGCACTTCACCAGAGTTACTATTAGTTTTGCTCTCTGGGGATTCACTTGATATTTCGCTGGTAGTTGCTGCCTCTGGGACATGGCTACTGGAAACAGATGACACTTTGGAAGAACTTTCTTGTAAATCAGTAGGCGGTGGCTCTTTTGTAGCAGTAACAACAGCAGATGACGAACTGGGAGTTTGTTGTGGCGATGGCACATAATTTGAAATAGAGCGTGTACTGCTGGCAGGTGCTTTGGGTGCTGTAGTCCCTTGTGTAGAAGACATATTTGCATTTCCACCTGCTCCTGGTGTTTGAGGAGTACTGGGGCCACTGAACATTGAGAACAAAGATTTCCTTGGACTTTCATTAGTGGCAGAAAAGCTACCCAAAAGACCCCCAAGAACAGAAGTGGGTGTTTGTTCTTGTGGTTGAGGCTGTTCTTGTGGTTTAGGTTGTGTCTGAGGTCCTCTTTGTAGTGGAGGTTGTGACTGAGCACCTCTTTGTTGAGATGGCATTGTTGGTGGCTGAGGCTGTGGGGGACTGGGATCAGTAAACACTGAAAACAGTCCCTTCATTGGGCTTTCAGATGAATTTGATTGTCCAGGCAGAATTCCACCAAGAAAAGATCCTGTTTGGGATTGAGACTGTTGGGTGCTGGGACCACCAAACATTGAAAGAAATCCTGCAGTTGGAGGATCTTTTGGAGGAACAGTTCTCTGTTGAGGTGCCTCAGCAGTAAGCTTGGTTTGATCTGGAGGTTGAGGAGGGCTTGATCCTCCAAACATTGACAATAAACTTTTACCAAGTGTTTCCTGTTGAGGGGGCTGAGGAGCTGCACTTGGGGGATGCGTTTGAGGTAGTGGGCCTGTTTTAGGTACAGCCTGCTGAGGACTTGGCCCAGTAAATATTGAAAGTATACTTTTACCAAGTGATTCTTCTTGAGGCGCTGTGGCTGATGCAGATGTTTGAGGTGTGGGTTCAGACTGGGTAGGTGCTGCTGATCCTGCAAGCATTTCTCCGATTGAAAATCCAAACAATCCACCAGATGGTTTATTTGATGTTTCTTGCTTTGCCTGTCCTGCAGGTGGCATGGTGGTTGGCTGGTTAGCTGCAGGGGCTGTGGATAAATTGGGAGAAGGCACTTGGTTTGTACTTTTGTTTGGGGGTTGGCTCTGTGCAGACTGCGGAGTGCCACTTTTGTCCATTGTTTCTTGTTTCTGTATGCTCTTAGATCTAGATGCTGACATCAGTGAACTCTCTGTGACACTAGATTTCATTTGCTGTTTTTGTGGTGGAGAGGGCTCGGCACTAAATAGGCTGCTAATTGATCCAAAGAGATTTGAAGCTCCTGTAGCCTCTTTATTAGCCGCGGTGCTACCTGGTAAGGAAGCAGTGCTGCCAGTTTTACTCTGCTGACTGGGAGATGTCTGTGGGATATTCTGGGGATCTGGTTTGGTTTCCTCCATTCCTACTGCAGATTTTAGAAAGTTCATAAAGCCTGCCTGTGGTTGTTCAGGTAGTTTCTCCACCGGTATATGTACTGTCTTATCAGCTGAAAGTTGTCCAGGTTGTGCAAGTTTACTAACAGATTCCTTGGACACTAAGGGTGCTGTGACACTGGGCTGTGCTGGTGGGGCTGGTTGTTGTCCCATGGTACTTTGACGTGACAGTCTAGGTTTCTGTGATGTTGTATGCAAGTGTGTTGAGGGTTGAGTTACTTGAGCTGTTGCTGGTACTGTGGGCAAAATTCTTCCCTGTGTAGTGGCTGGCCTTTGCATTTGTTGTTTAACACTTTCTGGCTGGGTCACAACAGCAGAAGATTCTTCTTTGATAATCTTGGACTTCAGACTTTGGAAACCAGATGAAAGAATGTTCTTAGACGGTTTTTCAGAGGCTTGCTCAGAGGGGGAAGTGCTAGTTTTGGTTAATTCCACCTGTGACGCTTTGCCGACAAATGAGGATATAAGGGAAGAAATCTTTTTGACTTGGCGATTAGGTTGTTCTTCTCCTGGAGACACTCTTTTTCTCCACTCTTCCTCTGATACATCATCTACATGTTTTACTGTAACAGCGGTAGAAGATCGACGACGCTGGCTAGGTTGGTAACAGTTGTAAAGTAGCTGTTGATTTGAATTTGCAGTCGGAGTAGAGTTCAACGAAACAGCAACCTTTTGAGCAAGAAAGGACTTCATTTCCTGACTGTTCCAATGAGGGCCAATTTGATCTTTGTTACGACATGAAAGGTCAATGATATCGTCATAGATGTAACTAGACTGTCTAGGATCCATTCTGACTTTGTTTAATCTGTAAGATGTGAAATCCACATCTTGTTGCCCTTGTGACAGAAATGAATTTTCAAACATTTGAGTGAACTGCTCAAGATTTAAATTCATGATCTGATTTCCTTTTCTATAGGCAGCAGACAAATCCAAGGGGGCATTGAGAAGTTGAGAATCACTGTGCTCTTGACCAGGAAGCCAAAGAAGCTCATCCTCATTGTAAAGTGGAATCTTGAAGCCACAGACTAAAACCATTTCATTGTGCAACCAAGCACTTGGAAGACCATCTAATTTCTGTCCACCTCCCCAAGCTTCGCCTTCAGGGGCACATGCATACACATAATCACCTGCTGCATCGGTAAGCAAAGCATAGATGTACTCATGATCTGTGTAAACAAAATAGCCACAGTCACCATCTTCTGCTGGCCACCACATTCCTTGCTCTAGAAGTGCTAGCCACTGTTGATACCACTCAGTGTCTTCAAGGTACCGGGAGTCTTCCATCTCAGTATTGGTACTTCGATGATAGCTTGAGTCTATTGGTCGGTTCAAATTAAACTGACTCTGATGCACCATGTCATCAGTATAAGTATATATTTGTTGGTCTGCATTATTCGTACCGTATTGCCAGTTAGCTGAATAAGATAGGCTTGGTGCAGTCTCCTCATAATAACCTTCATGATATGAAACGCCATTCAAACTGTAAGTGCTACCATCATTAAATGAATGCCATTTTCCAAATTTGGCATTACTTTGTTTAGTAGTTAAGTTCAACACTCCTTCCTCATTAGGTGAATACGCAATATTTCCCAAGTCTTCATAACTGTTCCATAACTTCCTCTTGGGATATGGATCAGGATTCCTGTGTCCTTCAACATAATATGGCTCAGTTTGCTCTTGGTGGCAAACACCTGCCCAGGGTGTGGGGTTAATTGGCTGATTTATATTTAGGGAGCTGCAGTGAAGAGCAGAGGGTGGTAATGATGCACTTTCACAGTTTTGTCCATACCTTTGATCTTCTCCCTGGACCTGGTAATTCAGTGACTCATTCTGAAACTGTTGCCAAAGAGCGCTTTCACGGATCCATTGGTTTTCATCATAAGAGGGACTTATTTGAAATGAGGATGACTGGCCTTCATAAAGGTTTGGGCCTGCAGCTCCATACAAAGAAGGAGGGCTTCCACCAGAATATGGCTGCATGTTCAGTATTGAAGAAGATGTATGGCTTTGTAAAAGGGAATTAATATTTCCTGTACTATAAGCTATTGGGTGAGCAGACAAACTGGAGTAGTACAACTGAGATAAATTACCCGTGCTAATGGAGGAGTATGTTGCCTGACTCTGAAGAGATCTCGCAAAAGTAGCCGATGTTCGTAAGTCTAAACTCTCAGTATCAACTGAGACAGGTGCACTGATCAAAGCATGTCTACTCTGTCCTGGCACAACTCTCCGCAGGCTTTCCCTTCCGAAGTCCGAGGTGGCACTTTTCAACATGCCTGAATGTAAATCTCTAGATGAGGGCATCTGCTGTTCTGTAGTTTGACCATGCATTTGTCCTTGATTACTGCAAGAATCCTCAGGTAAATTTTTGTTAAACAATCCAGACAAAAAGCCTTGCTGGACAGTCTGTGGAATCCTCTTCTCTTTCTCGGCACGTTCTTGCGACGGATGTTGTGCTATGTTTGTATGTGACTGTTTTTGTAGTGGGGTTTTCACTGGGACTGTGGAGATGTTGGCTCTTTGTCGTGGCGATTGAGCTGTTGATGTCTGACAGGCTGTTTCAATGTTTTCAGGCGATTTTGTTAATTTGTTAAACAACCCAGAGATGACCCCAGATTGATTTGATGTCTCCACTTGTGTAGGACCAGTCTGGCTGCATGGCACTTTGATTTGTTGTTGAGTCTCCTGGATGTTTTCGGGCTGCTGTTGTTGAGCCACATTTTCTGAGGGGGATTTAAAAAGTCCTGAAAAAAGACCACTAGCTTGAGTTGATTTCTGAGTTGTGCCACTTTGTGGTTGATTTTGGTTGGAAATTGGAACATTCTTTGGCGTCGTTTGCTCGTGGCTGGCTTTACTTGGGGTAATTTCGTGATGCTGAGTTGACGCTTGATTTTGATTGTTTACGTTGTCTGCTGATGCAAATTTAAAAAGACCAGATAAAAGGCCACCTTGTTGAGACAGTGGTCCCCGAAGTGGAACCGTTTGTTGTCGAATAAAGCCTGGTTTACTTGTCTCCTGTTGGACAACTTGCTGATTCAAGGTTCTGTCCCCGAGCTGTGGACCTCGATTTGGGCCTTGAGTGTTCTGCTGGTTAAAATCTTGTTGATTATATTGAACGCGGCTTTGTTGGTGAACTGTTTGACTGCTTGAAGTACTCTCAGAGGATCCCAATTTAAGCAAGCCAGACAATAGCCCTTTTTGCTGAGGCTGCATTTCATCTGAAATCTGCTGCTGACGTGAGGAGTTGCCAGGGATGTTCCTCTGCCTCTGAGCCTCGGAAGGTTGTACATTTTGCTGTATGTTTTCTGTTGATGAAAATTTCAATATCCCTGAGAGAAGGCCCCCCACCTGTGGAGCTGCAGAACTTTGCTGCTGGGGAGGGTGATGAGGAAACTGTGACTGATTAGTGCTCTTGGGTGGCTGATTGTTATGAGGAGCCTGCTGTGGCGAACTGCCAGACAGGTCACTAGCGGAGCCAAATTTTAGAAGTCCAGAAAGAAGCCCTCCTTGTTTAGGCTGATTAGAGCCCATGTGAGCGACGTCATCAGCTGAGCTTCCTTTAAAAATGCCTGTCAAAAAACTCTGGGATTCAGGCTGATTGGGAATTTGTTGCTGCATTCCATGAGAGGCTGCTGTTGGTTTTTGATTGGCTGTATGTTGCACATGTGAGCCAGGTGGCACTCTGCTCTGGAACTGCTGATTACTGAGAATGTTCTGGTTGGAACCAGAGGAAGCAGAGGCAGGGTTGAATATGCTGGAGAACCATCCTTTCTCAGTGTTTTCTTGGGGCGCCGCAGGACTCTGTGTAAAGGTGGCGGAGGTTGAGGATGATGCGTGCTGAGGATTCTGTGATTTCATGGAAGCGCTAACGTCTTCACTAGAGGCAAACTTTAAAAAGCCAGAAAGCACGCCTCCCTCTGCTTTGGGACGCTGCTGAGTGGAGACATTTTCTGAGGAGAGGAAAGGCAGGTTAATTTTACCAGTCAATGATGGGTCCACCACTGGTTTGTCTAACTGGGGCTCCTCTGTGGTTCTAAACACTGGATAAACTGCCACAGGAGGGGGTCCCTGAGGTGGAACAGGGGCAGCAGGTGTGATCAGTGAACTTAATGACTTCCTAAATGGATGAAAGAATCCAGCGTTTGCAGACTGCGTTTGGCTTGTCGACCTTTCTGACCCTGCTACAGGCACATTTTCTTGTTTATAAATTGGTGGATTTTGTCTCTCGTATAAATTTTCAGCATGATTGTGTCCCATATATTTTTCTTGTGAGGAACTCCTTAATTTTTCTGCCTTTCTGAATCCTTCTGCTGTCACTGGCTGTTTATCTTGGGGAGCACATTTGCCATCCCACTGAGTATGCTCTAGAGAATATGTGGACTCTGACGCCTGTTTGTATTCAACTGTGCTCACATTGTCTCCTCCTGAAAAAAGCTTTAAAGGATTCAATTTTCCCAAAACTGAATTTCCTGGAGCACTTTGAGGTTTGCTGACATACTCGGGTACATGTTCTTTTGTACTCGTTTGTGTTTTTGTTTCTGGATAATGTGTTTTGGCATCATGTGGTGGCTGAGAAGGCAAAGAACTGAAGGACTTTTCAGGAGAAGATTCCACAGGAGACACAACAGCTACTGGAGCTGTGCTATTTGATTTCGGAATGAAGGAAAACAGTTTTGTTAGTCCGGATTGCGTTGGTTGTGCAGGTGGTGCTTGTGGAGGTGGGGCAGGCGGTTTGGGGCCTCCTCCAACTTTGTCAGAGAGAGAGCTAAACAATGAGCTCATGGCATTTTTTACTCCTGAAATACCCTGATCAGAAGGAGTGTGTGATTGGGACTCTCCTCTAGGATCCTTTGATGTTGTATTTTGGTCCTCTCCAAAAGAGTCTGTTCTAATGCTACCCTGAGAAGACAGTCTAGATTTGCTTGATTTCGGAAGGGAACCATATTTGCTAATTTCCTCTTCTTTTTCAGCGAGATATTCGGAAACCGTTTCAACTAGACACTGGAGCTCATCCATAGGATCTACATATTCATCACTTGGTTCTTCTACTGGAGAGAGCATCGCTTCTGAAACCCAACCTCCAGTTTTAGACTTTGCACTCTTTTTCTCCCGAAGGCCCTGAGAATTGTCTACGTGGCCCTCATAAGAGAACGAATATCTGTCTTTGTAATGCGTTGTGTTCTCTGAGTGAAAGTCCTCGCCCATAAAGGCAATGCCATCGATGTCCTCCTCTGCTTCTGTGGGATAGTGCAGATCCTGGGAACTCTCAAATTCAAAATCAAAGCGTGCCCTCATTCTAGCATCTTGCTCTTTTTTGTATGCCACATAATTCTCCAAAGTGTTGTCCAGCTCGGTTTTAGCCCACATCCTCGTCTTGTAGAGAAGCCCGTTCTTGTATGGCCTGAGGCACGATGTCATGCGTTCCTCCTCTTCCTGCATCTCTGCTACCTGCCGCATAAACAGCTCTCCTCTCTTTTCACGGAGGACTGCAAGGTCAGAGGGAAAAGTCTCTTCTCTGTACTTGTCTGCCTCTGTGCTGAGGAACACTCCTGGGTCCGTAATCTTTTTCTTTCGCCGTCGATCGATAGTGTCATAGCCCTCGGGGTAGGGGGCAGGCAGAAAACCACTACGTTTCGTATTTTGACGGATAGGTGTGGCCGATGGCTCGGGGTAGGGTCTTCCCATTCGAAAGATAACACTGTCTTCCTCATCATCTAAGAAGTCTCTCAGCTGAGGCTTGCTCAACCGTTTGTATTTGTTTTCCCAATCCTCGACCCCCATGCCAGAATCTACGGGTATAATTCTGACTCTTCCTTTCTGGTTTAAAGATCTTATGTGGGTAAAGAATAGATTTAACAAGGGGATGGGAATGGATATAGGGACAGAGAAAAAAGCAAATAAAAAGAAAAAATGCAAACAATAGGAAGTTAAACAATACAAAAACAATGGAGAAATTAAGACATGCATAGATTCATGCAAATGCAAACAAACAATTGTGCTTTTCAGCTACATGATCACTGTTGGGACAACGTTACAGCGCTCTTAACGGAGATTAGAGGTTAACAAATATTTAGCTTTGACGACAGATTAACAGAGCTAAGCTGCCTTTAAGACAGCTGCCTTTAAAAAAAACTAAAACATACCTGACACATTTCAGCAGTTTGGCCTGTAAGACTGTATCTGTATGCAAGTGTGGGATTGTGTGCATGTGCCTTAGTGATTTTAGATCTTTGTAAATCCTCACAGCAACAGTCACACTTATCAGCACTTCAACACTGAGTCTACAACAGTGTTCATGAGAAACACATGGCAAATCACCGCCATATGGTGCCTGGTGAAGGAGTTTTAATCACCAAAGAACAGGAGAATGTCGGTCACTGAGCGTCTCCCTACAGAGGTGTGGCAGAGGGATTCCTCTGTGATAGGGCTAAAGCCTAGTTCAGAGCCTTTGAAACTACCAGGAGTTTGAACCAACACAACAGACCCTCAAGACAAAAGGAAACAAGAACAATGAGCTTTTCCTGGCTGTATTCCCATTTTTGTTTCTGATGTAGAATTATCCGGATCAGCGTCCTATCAGGCAACAGGCAGATCTGTAGCGGTCTCACTGGTGTGCATGCATTCTGTGACGAGTGCACAAGAATAAAGTCTTATGGAGCAAATATGGTGTAGTCATAATCATTACAATAAAGAAAATGTGTTATATTTGTAGCAGGGATATTGTTGGTGCCGTCCGATGATATTCTAATTATTTAATCCCCACATACTCTCATCGCTGGCCACCTCAACAACAAGCTGACTTCAGTCACACAAAACCAACAAGTCTGATGTCCCTCCCAATGTAAAGAGGACCACCTCAATAATGTCACCTGATATCTTGTGCAACAACGCTTTAACAATGTTGGATCCTTGGTCAAACAAACTGTTTTTCAGGCTATAAAATCAGGAGCACAACAGTTAAAATAGCCACTTCCTTCTCGGTAAAACAAAAACTAATCTTAGTCCTATTGTCAGCTCTAGATATATATACATATTTTCAAATGATAAAATAATAGACATTGGACAAACAAGTGAATTTATTATTTCAATTAAGTGGAATTTGCTGCTTTTTAACTTAACTGGTTAAAACAAACAAACAAACAAACACAGCGTGACTGTTTTTTGTTTTTTGTTTTTTTACACTGTGCTGAAAGTACAAATGTGTTGATTTAACTCAGATTTGAGGCCAAATATATCATTTAGCTCCATCATATGAAGAAAAAATGATCATCTTTTGTCCCATTCGTGTGTGAAAACATTCGCCAGGCGTGGCTATTGTGCTGCATTTGAAAGCACCAACTCACAGTGGCTGTTGCAGTGGGACTACGCTCTCTGGCTGCACCGGATAAATGTGCGTAACTGTGAGGAAGTGAGGCTTTGATCAAGACTGACTGAATCAGTGAGAGTGTTGATGTGTGACTCTGGATGTGCTCCGTCTACCTGGGTCCTCTCTGGTCCCTGTAGTCCAGGTCAAAGCTGTGGTCAGAGTCTCTGCAGCTGTCTTGGTGATGCTGTGCCCGCGGCCCCATGGGGTACTGGTGCATGGACGAGTTGGGCTGAGCTGTCGTGTGGTAACGTGGAGGCAAACTGTTGCTGGTCTCACTGCGGTAGTCGCTATCCCGGTCCTCCACTGCGCTGTCCTGGTCATCCAACGCTGTAGCAGGCGACAGGACAAGCTGGATAAACTGTCTTTCCTGACACTTGGAGCAAGCTAGTGCTGCGTATGTTTTCTATGACAGCAAGCATTTTAAAAAAAAATCTTGCTGAGTTAGTTTGAATTTTCCTCATCTGGACAGAAGAGTTGAAGAAATAAACAAACGAGGCCAGAAGGGAGCTTCCAAGGGTCCTATTTTAACAATGCAATGACAAGTCCTGGCACAGAGACTGTGTGGGTGTCTCCAAGTGCACCTGCAGCGAGACGCAAGGGCAAAAGGGCAAAATGTGGAATAGACACTGGGAGGTGTTCAACGGATACAGTCTGAGCATCGTTGTCTGCATAGAGCAGAGCTGCATGGTCTGAACACACAGCAACACAAATCTGCAGCCACAGGTCGATAACGTGTCTGTTTTTAATGACATCTGCACATTAACTACAGTAATTATAGGAAATGTTCGAGTTTACAGTTTATTACACCTTAAATTCTCATCGTAAATGAGTATATGATGATGCACTGATTTTGCCAATTTATGCATTTTAAAAATAAACCACTTGTAGTAAAAAGAAAGTCAGAAAAGACGAAACAAAGGTGACAGAGACATGCTGCTGTAATCCAACATCTTCCTCATCACGAAGCAGAACAAGTGACTGGTGACCTGTAGAACTGTTAGAGGTCACCATGTAGCAGCCTGCTGTCATCTGCAGGTGAGTTATCCAGGTAAGCCTAGTGTCAGGACACGCATAAACCTACTCCACTGTGGCGCAGCCCTTCTCAAATCATAGCTTGTAAATCTATTGACAAATCTGCCTCAGAAGACTGCAGCGATTTAGTCATCTGAAGTGAACCTTGTCCTGGAGTACAGAGCAGAAACTCTCAGTCACTCATTTTAATCTACAGAGAAATCCAGTGTCCTCATGCTTTAAGCACATGAATGGTCCTTTCTGAAACTGTGTCTTTTATTTGCGGCACAAAGTCACGTTTTCCACCAAAATACTAACAATTTGTCTTCTGCTGCTTCACTTAAATGAAGCTCACACTTCTGCAGCACACACTGAATTTTAAGGTCATGAAAACACCACAACACCAAAACACTGCTTGCACTGGTCATTGCAGAGCTATGAAATCAGGGCCCCATAGTCCTCATGTATGCAGGCTCTAGCATTACATGGAAGGCGACTGATTTGTATCAGCAGATGGATCCATTACCGAGAATCATTTTATTAAATTTATTTCAAAATACTGAAATAAACCTTTTTTTTTTTTTTTAAAGTGACCTTGCCGATCCCAAGAGTTATCTTGGAAAGCTTTTCTAGAGTGGACCATGAGGCAGGTCTGCAGGGTCTGCCCAGGTCCTGGACAGGTGAGCTGGGTTTGTCTTTTCTGAGCGATAAAGCGAGAGGCTGAGCGATGAACTGTCTGGACAGACAGAAAAATGTGAAAGTGACAAATATTGTTTAGTGAAGACTGCCACCTGTCATCCCCATGATGAAACTGCAGTTCACAATCTTCAGGGTTTGATTGGGGCTCTATGGGTCACCAGCCTTTCAGGAATAATTCTATGAACCCTCTTAAAAAATGATTGATCTCAGTATTATTACTGACTTAATTTGTTTTCAGTTTCAGAGTGAGAAGAAAAAAGGTGTATTGATGAGTTTCCCTGGCTTTTCTCTAGAATGTGTGCTAAACCAAGCCTGTAAAGAATAATTATACTGTTTTATAAAAATTATCTGACATCGGCACAAAGCACACTGTAAAGGGTCAGAAGACAGGAAGAGCACAATAGGACGGCCAACGAGGAATCAAGGAAAACGGTGAGGAAACTCAAGTGTTGGCATGAAATAATGTGAATAAAACGCAGGGGAACTCCATAGATGACACGTTATTGGGGATTATGGGTGGTTATGACATGCAGAGGGGACGGAGGGGTTGGCCGGGGCACAACTTCATTAAAGTGTGTTACATACTCAGTGGGTCGGCCCATCCGAAATAGTTGCCTGGTGAAAGTGCACATGTTACAGTGAGAGGTAAGTCAGAGGAGGCAGGGTTTGTGCAAACAAACGAACGAACAAAAAAGTGTGAATGTGTACTAGTGGGAGAATGAAGGGAGCCCATCAGTGGAGCAGAAAACATCCTCATACGCTGCCACAGCAGCGAGAATTAGATTTACATACATACAGGCTCTCTGGTAGGATGCAAGATCACAGACAGACTTACTCTAAAGAATACATTCCTTCACTTTCAACTCTTAAACCTCCAAAGAGGTGAAAATAAATAAGTCTGAGGGCTAGGGGGTGGAGCATTGGCTCCATCTAGAGGACGAAAGGAGAACAGTATGTGCATGCACACTCACAGCACTGGGAAGCTGCAAATGGCAGCGGGCGGCTCTGAGCGTCATCCTGAAGAAGGTACCACAGAGAAGAGAGAGAAAAAACACAGCAGGCATCAAGAGTCAAGCTTGTTTTCCATTGTCATCATTACTGAGTAGTCCATGAGCTCTAACAACAGAAGCACACGTCACAGGTAAGCGTCATGAGCACAACAAGCGCTAAACAGGTGATATGAAAGCCTGCTGGTATTCCTCATTCAAACATATCTTCAAAAGTTGACTTTCTGAACCTGCCTTTACCTCATCATGCAGTCCCATGGTGTTGATGCGCTCCAGCTTGCCGGTCCAATACTGCGCCTCATCATCTGGGATATCTGGTATGAAAATATGCATCCATCACACACATCATGAGTCATATTCCACTATGTAACAAGGATATCATTTCTCATGAGCTGCTTAAGAATTAAGAACTGAAAGTTGTCAGACAACACCAGAACAAACAAAATAATTCCGTTACAAGCTGTAGGTCCATGAACAGGACTCACAGTAAAACCTTTTCCTGTCGGGGTTAACCAGCTACCATTCTGCATCACATCAGGCTCTCTCGCTGGTCCCACTGTTAAGGGGGTTTGTGCTGTACAGCAGCCAGATGCACATTAAAGGCCACATGCACAAAGGCCAGGGCTTCAAAGACACGCCGACCCACGGCTTTAATGAGCGGCTTTGGTGGCCCACAGTCACGATGGGCTCCTGCAACCATGAAAGGTCTCGTCTGAAAACAGAGAGAGAGGCTCTCTGTTTCTTACTCGGCAGACAGCAGACACCCTGTTTCAACTCTGATGCTTTGGATCACAAGGCTTAGGTCGTACATGCACAGCGTCTGGCAATGTGAACAGTCTAAGTGGAGCTCAGGCTACAAACACAGAGGGACGTTTTCACCTCCCAGTCTAGAAGAGCACTGAAACAAATAAGATTCTTTGCATGAATGAACTCATCCTGGTAGCTGTGAATGGGACTTTTGTATAGAAAACCTGCTGATTATATATTAAACTGGCAAATTCATGTATTTGTGCTACATGGCTAGCACCACATGGCAGATAGAAGATTAAATCTATATTCATGATTTACCGAAGACACCAAGCGAATGTTGCTCCATGCCTGCTGGCTGTATCAGTCACTATCATTGTTTAAGGTGACGTATCAGCTCAATGTGGGCATTTTCTGCATCCAGAAGAATTATAAACGCAGCTTTCACGACACGCATTTTAATGTTGCTGTGGCCGATACCAGATGGTTGTGAAAAAGTGCAACTGGACCTAAACTCATGGTCATACTTTCTTTTTTTTCAGGTGCATAATATATTAAAGCATTTCTAATGGTTCATTATTATTCCTGTTGCTGCTATGGGACAACTGGGGAAGGACCAAATAAGCTAAGTTAATAAAGAAAGATCTGCCATTGATGAGTCAGCGCCCTCAATGTATGGTGGACGGACACTTCCCAGTGCACCTAGATAGAGAATAGCAGACAGTGAGGTAAGTATCCAACAACAGTTTCCCATCATCAGCTGTACAATAAAGGAAGCCTTCTCTGCAATCGGCCCCTTCACCCTTCTCGTGTAGACTGTTCACATGGTTCATATAGTTTCTATTCAAGCCAGGTCCAGTATTCTTACATAAGGTCAGAGAACACCAGGATGACACCAGTTTCTTACAGTGCCCCAGGCTGGACATCTCTTCCTGTGCAAACCCACTGCCGACATTTCACAAGGAACCACTGTAGCCCTTGTGTAACTCAGCGGATGAGAGTTTGATTTGCTCTAAGGTGGCCAGGTTCACCGATGTGCTCTCTACGTCACTAATGCACCCACTGAAGCGACAGCAAAACATCTTGCATAAGCACTTGAACTTTTCAGAAGTGCGGTTTATCGATCGTAAGTTTACTCGAAATCTACCGTGCACTGAAGATTTTCTGACTGACATCTCACCAAAAGGCAGCTCAAAGCGAGTATCCAGCAGGACTCGATGAGGCGTCGGGTTCTTGGTGCCGCATATCTCGTCTTCTTTCATCAGGACCTCAGCATCCAGGAATATCCACTCACCTGAGCCCTCCTGCAATTCAATGTGTACATGTACATTTATCTACACATTTGTGTTTGCCCTTCTATAGACTGTACAGGATGTCAAGTCGCTTTATTAGTCCTCTGATTCATTTTGCTGGACAGTCAAGTCAAACGGTAACTACAAATCTGCAGATGTGTCATTTCTGAATACTGTCCTGTTTCTGACTCACTTTTGGCAATTTTAAATCAAATTTACACCCTCATTCCCTCCTCTTGTTTTTTCCACATTCTACGGCTGTTTTGTGTCGTTGTTTTTTAAAGCTGTCTGATTTTGCTCTTCCTCTTTTACTTTTCTTTTGACTTTTCATTTTAAAGTTTTACATCTTTTGCATCCTACCACTATCTCAGAACGTGGCTGTCCTGTCCATGTACATGTCTAATGTGTGTTCATACTAAATCTTCTTTGTATGCCACTTCCGGCGTACGACTGTGTGTGTTCTCTCCCCCATAGTTTGCATTTTGTAACCTCTGTCCTCGTTCTGTCTGTAACGTGCACCTTATTTCTGTACTAGAAAGCACTCTGGGTGCGTAAATAGCACTGACTTGACTCATGAGAAACCCGTGTATGGATTGAGGATGGACTGGTGATTGATTTTGTGTGGACGTATGTGCTAACCTCTGATGACTGTGGGATGCTCTTGAGAGGAATCCAGGCGGTGCCCAACATGGTGTCCCAGATGAGGCCTTTGTTCCACACCTCAACAATAAGGCCGAGGTCCAGCCGGTTGATCTCACTGAGCAAAAAGGCAAATAATAAAATAATAATAATAAAATAGCTCTACTGATAAACAGCATGGAAAATGTCAGTGGATAGAAGATTGAAACTATAACGGTGTAGTTTGCAGCTCTGTTATCAGGATTTTTACTTTAAGAAAATTCCAATATGACTTCAAGGCCTGACTCAATTAAAGCGGTTCCTTCTGCCTATTATATCTTCTCCAGACGCTACCAATTGAAATAAATGATCAGCAATTCACTGAATGGGATAAGCTGATTTCCTGTTACATTTGGATGAGTAAGAAACCAAGAATACGATACAAAACAATGCAGACGTCAGTAGAGAAAGAGGGTATGGCGCTGCCAGGTTTAAGGGATGACTGTCATGCAGCACAGCTCAGAGCACTGGTGTGTCTCTGTGATGTAGGGCAAGGTGGAAGGAAATAGAGGAGACTCAACCTACAGCACCACCAGTACAATAGCAGATAGTAAACTGATAAATAACCTCCATGATAAAGACAAGCCCTGGATAAAAGTAACTAAAAATACAGCAGAAAATCATCAACCACCATCATCTGAAGGGTGCAGAGAGGACACTGGGGTGGTGTGAGTATGATCCAGATTTTATGCCAAACAGGACAGACGTTAGATTCAAATATGGAGGAGTACAGGGCTCACTTCTCACTGTTGTTTCATACAGATTGTAAAAAGCTTTGACATGTGCAAGAAGGACCATGAAGTGGAGAACAAAGACTTCTGTAGATATTTAAGCATCGACTGAATGAAATGATGGCTGAGGGATCAGAGGAACTGGGCAGTGACAGACTACATGGTTCTGTGTATCCGGGAGTGGACGAGGAATAAAATCCACATTAGATAAAAGTCTTCACGTCTCCTCAAACCCAAATACTCAACATGTTAAAAGTAAATGGGAAAGAGAAGGAGGAGAGCAAATAACTGAAGAGGAATGGGAGAATATTTGTCCATTACAATGGAAACTAGTCATTCACACAGCTGGAGGGAATCCAGGTGGAAAGTATCATGAGATCCTTTATCACCTGCACAGAACAGACACCAGGGCGTAGGTACAACCTGTTGGAGGTTGTGTGGTTCAACCACAGCCAGTCATTAGCACATATTCTGGGCTTTGGTGAGAAGTTCATAAATGTTTGGAAAGTGTGTTTCCCATAATTATTCCATTCAGTGCTTTCACAGTGTGTCTGGGAGCTGCTGGACTGCACGCTCAGTCTGCAGCAGACTAATACTGATGAGAACATGACCTGTGGGAGGAAGAAGGCCTCGATAAGAAGTGGCTACAACCAGATGCTCCAACATCAGGTGACTTCTATGAAATCATACATGACATTTACATGATGGAAAGACTGACGTTCTCTATAAAGACACAATCAGAGAAGTTTGAGAGCTGGTGGACACACTGGGTCGGGTCTATGGGTCCACAGAGACCAGACTGACTTTAACCACCCTTCTGTAAAATACTGATTCTACAGGATGAGCAGATAGATCGTGGTGTGAGGGTTTCTTCATGAGTGGATGAGCGACAGCCTCTTGGTTCATGGGTTTGTTGGATCAGGAATGTAAACATCTGCTTAAAATGAAAATGAAACGGAGAGCAGCAGCTGAAAGGTTAATATCACTGAAACGTGTCGTAGACTACTGGGCCATATTATACATGGTATATACGCAATATTTGAATGATTTGAACTTGGTGTGAATGTTGGACTATGTAGAACCTCCCTGATAAAAATAAAATAAAAAACAATTCCAATACGACATTCAATTAGCAGTTTCTACATAATTACTGTCACCACGGCCCACTGCCTGGTTACAAAAGCTACGTCCCCTTTTTGTTGAGCAGGAGCCGTCATAATCCATTGCAGCCTTGTTTTGTAATTCAACAGCTATTCAAAGGGCTCAGAAACAGCTTGATGACAGCAATAAAATGGCATATCAATGTTGAAAGGAGCCGCATGACAAGGGCATTTGCATATTCTCATCTGTGGCAGTTTGCAACTCTCGACAGGCCAAACAAAAGGAAGATGAGAAAAAAGATAATCAAAGAGAGCAGATAATTGAGAGAAGTGCAGGGAGGGCGCTGAGTATCAAGGGGGTCCAGGTGCACGGATAAAGGCTTCCTAAATCATTTGCTCCTACAACACGGCCCGGAATAAACATGTTGTAGCGACGCATAACAATCCAGCTGTGGCTAATTTTAACAGGGAGACTGTGTTGTTCATGCGGCGACTTAGATTCTGTTTTCTCGTTGTGTATGAGCCGTGTCTTTTTCAAAACGCACAATTAGGCTGCGGAGGCAATGTTTGCTGACTGACTGGATTCAACCTGCAAATGCCCACCTGACGGTACAGCAAGCACTCATCACGATGTGGAAGGCTGCTCCTGATCACGTTTCACATCAGACACACAAACACATAAAGCTTCAACTCAGTTCTAGTGCTCATTTCCAAAGCAAATAAGATAGATGTGTGTCAGACACAGATCAGGGTTGAACTGTGTCATAAACTGCATTTACTTTTTTTTGCTGAGCGTATCCAACCCATGAAGACAGATCTGAACCTTCTATGAACACATCTGACTCAAAAAAGCTGATTTTAACATTTTGGTCCAAGTTATGTTAATAGGAAAACCGGATAATGTTTGGGAAATTGACTTTTCCAGATGAATATAACTCTTAGATCCACGATACATGAAAATTAGTATGACGATGGATAACGGAGATTAGCACAAGACTGGAAACGGCTAATCTGCCTCTGTCCACAGGTAACGAAATCCATCTGTTTTCACCTCTAAAACTAATATTTGGGTCGATTAATATGTCAAGAAATATTACAGCTTGAATAAACAAACATGCAAATAGAGTTTAAGTTCAGTCATTTTTTTCAGATAAGTAGTTAAATGGCTCACGATTGGAGCACCAGCATCGAGTTCTAACCAAATGAGCTCGTTTTCCAAACTATCAAACATTTACCCTCATTTTAAAAACTATTTTACTCACTGAAACACTAAAAGGAAAAGATGCAGCTGCCTGCATGAGCGAAACCGTCAAAAAGTTTAACCCAAAAGACAAACAAGCAATCATGAAAAATGTCAAAAGATTCTCTGGTTTTTGGCATTTTCAAATAAAAAATAAATAAAATAGCAGCTGAATGAGCAACTGCAGGAAGTTTTACTGAATGAATTGGTGGCAACAACAGCAGCTAGTCAGCAGGTCACAGACTAGCATCATTTGTCAGCTTCAGTCTCTTATTTCCTCAGACATGTATTTATGAATATATTTTAAAATGCAATAGAATTCACTAGATAGCAGCTGCTGAGGCTCTCAGCTAGAAAATGGACACGTGTCATTTTTAGAGTTGACTTGAGCTGCGCCGGTGTGACCAGTGGTAGTGAGCGTTTGCTGGAGACGCTAATGAATGATGGTGTTTTACGTTGAATCGCATCGAGCTGACGCATCGTTAATGGCTGGGAGAAGGATGAAGGTCTGGAAAAACAAACACCGTTCCAATGAGCGAGTTCACAAAAGACAAACAATGACACACATGCAACAACGTGTTGGCTTCCTCGTCACCATAGATACCTTTCAGTGGGAAAGGAAAACAGGGAAATTAAACCAATGAATTACGAGGAGGAAATGGACAACAGCTGCTGAACGGGACACTTTCTTAGAAGGAGCCGTCCAGTTTTAAAAGCAGCTGTGAGCAGGTCTGGGGTCGGAACGACAGAAAAATACAAGCCTTTATTGAGCAGTTTTGCTGAGACGGTAAACGTGACTCCTGGAGCAGTGCAGACATGCTGCTGGGTCCAAGCCGGAAGGATGCACCGCCTTCTGCTTCTCATAAATAACGCATGGTTTTGAAGGAAAACAGTGCAGCGTGTTCAGGTTTAATAACTCACAACATGAAATCTTGCTCCCAGCAGGGCTGGTCCCCGCGCACCGTGATAGTTGTGCTTTTAACATTCTGCACCTTCAGCGTCACGTAGGTGTTGAACTTATCTGAAACAAAGGAAAAGGGAGATTATTATAGTGAGGTTACACTAAGAGCATATAACACATATAGATGAACACATATAGGAGACAGAGAGCAGAAGAGAAGACACACTGGAACATCACAGTGATAACAATCTGCAGGGTGTCTGCTGGACAGAACAGAGCAGCACATCACGCAACACCAACCAGGCCAGTTCTGCTCAGTTTTGTGTGGGTGAAGAAGACATCAGGAGAACCAGTGAGAGTGAAAGCAGATAAATCTCCTCCCCCACCGACCATGTCAAGCCAAGTCAAGCCCGGGCAGGCGGGGCCAGCCAACTGACCCCGTTAATCACAGCTAGAGTCGACGCATGCAGTCGACTCAGAGCGGCTGACATGTCTCTGCTGCACTGCGAGGTACAGTCCTTCACTTAAACTCTGAACATATGGTGAGGAAGCAGGTCTGCTGATGATGTAAGCGAGCCACTCTTGACCCGTTACTACTGCAGAAAAGGTCTCCGTCAGTCCTGATATCATCAGTTCAGAAAATCCAGTTGGGTCAAAGGGGATGGTGTCGGCTGAATTGAATTCTCCTTTTTCCACCATGGTTAAAGCTGACAGGTGACTACGTCTGTAGGAAATGATCCCTACTGGAACTCTGCTGGCTGCTGAGGATTCGAGTGCAGACAACATTCACACCAGTGACTTCAGTCCGCCTCCTCTCAGCCAGTGGTGCCGGACAGCAGAGCCACAACCAATGTGTGCACCAGCTGTCAGCGCTGGGTGGTGATGGCTGACGGCTGGGGGCAGAGGGGGGGATTAGACAGCCCGTGTCACAACCACCAGCGTTTCATTTCCTGTGGTATGCCACGGAGCGTTAACACGTGCCTGCTGATGTGCTCAGCTTCGCTTGACCAGTTTGACCAGCTTTGCACCGCTGGTTGTCCTCCCTCCGACGCCCCCTGAACGGGACCCCCCACCTGGACACGAGGGGAGGGATGAAATGCATAAGATGTGTAGTGTGGGTAGTGTGACTGACGGGACGGAAAAATGTGTTTAAGATCTGTAAAATCATATTAAATATGAGCTACTGTGGTCAGTGTACATCATGATTTATCACATTTTCCGGACCTTCAATGGGTTTTGGCCGACAGCAACAGATGCTTCATCACAGCGGTGCCGTACGACTCCCTGACAGATCTGGACACACTTAAGGGACACCTTGGTCTCCACAATCCATCACTGACCATATGTCAATACGAAAAATACAGCCACATCAAATAATATACCTTTTTTTTAATTTTTAATTTGAAAGAAATTTGCTCAACAGAAACAACTTTTTTCATGCTTGTGGTCAAGCATTTGATGACAACAGTATTCTATAAGTTTGGTTCTGTGTGATCGGAACCGGCAGCTGCATGTGTTTCAGAAAATATCACCAGCTGACGTACCTTTTCTTTTAATCAACTTGTGCTCAAAGATGAAACTTTTCACGGCGGTAATCAGAGACTACTTGATCTACCGGCCCAGTACTGCAGGTTCTGAACCAACAGTGTGATGAGCAACAACACTAACACAGTTCAAACATAGCCTCAAATTTCAATGCTGATTTGTCAGCTGACATGTAGTAAATCCTGCTGCCGTTCTCCATGCATGCACACAGTACAGTAAACATACACCTACACACACACACACTATCCACCTTGTGGTCTGTGGGAAACACAACCAAGGAGTCAGCTGGTCCTTTATCGACCTATCACCTGACAGCACTGAACAAAGATTTTCCTGGTTACCCCGGCAACATACATAACATTTATCTTGCACATAGCAGCAAGATAAGTCAGCTCTTGACACAACAAGACAGTAAACAGTTGACACAGGCGGATTCGTACAACGCTCCACTGACACACAGCATAAATAAAGACATCTTAGGCTCCAAGTCTAAAAGCTGCACAGGAAGCACCCGCAGAAGTCCTGACGTGATGCTCAAAGCACTGTCCATCAACAAGTGCGATAAGTGACAGGACACAAACTTAATTAGTGTTTTAAGGGAACAGTAATGACAAAACACAGGCTTTATTACAAAGGAGCCTGGGGGATGCTCAAGCCTTTCCCTAATTAGATAGGCCAAGCCTTGTGCCACACTTGGGCCGGCTCCCATGAATAGCAGAGATGAGATAAGGGAAGAGGATGTATGGATTAGACAGGAGCCACTTAGTGGCGGTGGGCCCTTTACAGCATGGTTGGTGCAATGTGCACTGCTGAGGAGGAAGCAGCAATAACTGACAAAGTATGTCTGCACCCTGGTACCGGACCCCCACTGGACCTATGAAGCCAACACCAGTATCACTGTTGGAGGATCACTTAATCAAATAACACATCAACCTTTAATTTAATGTAAACATATGACATAGATATAATATTACCTACAAAGATAAACTAGGCAGGCTGAGATATTGGCCTCTATGAATGTGGTGCAGACAGATTGATAATAGTGTATACGCAGCCTGATAAGCAACAGGAATGGCAGCACGGAAATCCCTAAACGATCTGTCCCCTTGTCAGATGTCCTGCTTCGTATATATCTGAGTCACAAAACAAATTGTTCCAAGTGACTCACACCAAGACGGTTTGCTTTAATCTTTGGGATTTTTAAAAAAATTTTTTTTAGACAAGATGTTATTAAAGGCTCTAAACTCCCACATGTGAGCTGGACAGTGATGGTGCCATTCAGCAGCAATTTTTGACCCAAAAAACTTAATAAAATACAATTATTAAAAATAATAGTTGAAGGAAATGGATACTGTACATACAGCCTATAAAATGTCTTCCTTTGTATTTGCTGATATCTACTAGTGCATAGAGAGCAGCAACACGTTCATACGACCGGCTGTGTCAATGTTCTGGTCTGGGTCCAGCACGCACACACACAGCCATGATTAAACTGCATAAATCAAGGCTTTACCGAACCTTATCCAAAGCAGACACTGATAAAACGCTTCAGGTCAACAGAATCTCCCTAATTGTGAGCAGAACTGGGCCCAGCATGTGAAAACATGTGTAGACCATGTCTATACAGACTCCTAACTTGAGCAGATGCTTGACGGTTCTATATTGCTGCTACGTCTCTTTATCGAGCATCTGATGCCTGCATTGTAGTTGATGAGTTCAGAACAAGATGGCTTTTGAAACAGCTCGACGTGAAGCAGTCAGAGGGGTTATCAGACAAGCCCTTTCTCCATTTAGGGTAAAGATCTAGCCTTTGACATTACATACTGTATAGGTTTACTGGCAGAGCACCGAGAAAGACCCAATCAGTGGAAATCTTTTTGTTTTGCCTTGTTAACATGTCCATGATGTGTTTTTATATGCAGGAAGACATACCATGAGCGAAACAAGCAGTCGATGACCTGGCAGACGTTCTCCACCTTTAAGCTTCAGCGTAGTGAGGACAGAGTCAGAAACAGACTCAGACCGTGAAGGTTTCCTCTGTAGTAAACCAGAAGGAACCAGTCCCCCCAGCTTACCGCAGGACTTTCTGTATCATAGTTCTTCTCCAAAACCAGTTTCCATTTCCAACATGTCCAACTCCAGTATTACAACTTGTCCCCGTGTAGGACAGAATGGTGTACAGTGTTTGAGCAAAGTCGAAGGTGAGCTGGTGTGCTCCAGCTGCACTGAGCGTGGGTGAAGAGAGATGTATGGACATCATAGATCTGCACACTCCAAAGGAGGCAAGAAATACATCTAAGCCATTTGAAGGCAGGAAGGGATTATTGAAATGGATTAAAAACCTTCTAAATATGTAACTCTGATACACACATTTCAGTTTTTAGAGCTTTAATCAGTAACTGGAGACTTTAACGCTCTGGCTTAAAGCTGCTGGTAACGGAGGCTCAAGATAAAACAAGACAGTAGATTTCAGGCAACAATCAACTACAAGTGCAGTTATAGTTAAATGTGTTTCAGCCGCACCTAGAAATGATTTGGTTGTATTCTGGATGATTCCTGTGAAGGAGAATTGTGTGGCAGGCAGGGAGTGAGCTCAGTGCTGACAAAGTATGAAAGACGTGTTCATCTGTACTTAAGGGTAAGTCTCCTGTTTTAGGCTATAACTTACCAAGTTTTTTAAGTCCGTGAGGGTTTGGCACTTATGTTTCTAACACACGGACACATACGACTGCAGCCACCTAGTAAACAACTCCATGGTCAGTGTGTTGTGAAGAGGAAGAATCCGATGAGGTGGATTGTGGAGCGATGTTTTGAGGCAGCGCTCACTGCTCCTTCTTGCGAACCACCCACTCACCCCGGAGTCCTCAGCCTCAGCCTTCATTCATTATTGACTGATGATGATTTTTTTTCAATAAATTAGTCAGGAAAAGGCAGGCAGTTGGAAGGCTGACATTTCACATTCAAAGCACTCATCAATGTTGCATGCAACAAAAGGACATGAAACTGCTGCGGGACGCTTCTACTGTTGCTTGGACCACCTCATGAGAAGTTCCTCCTTCATCATTGGAGTTCTGAACTTGATATGTTTGCAATAGAACTGGGAAGGAGATTCTAAGCAGGCACATACATGTCCAAATGTCCAAATCCAACAGCAAACACTCATTATCAAGCTAAAGTTAACAGTCAGTAGAAAGTAAGTCAGCTGGCCCATCCACGGTCACCTTCAGTTCTACAGTGTCCAGGCACACCTCATAGCGTAACCACAATAAGTCCTAGAAGGTATCCAGCTGCTAGGGTGGTGAAAGCACAATGCAAACACCATCCCAGACGAGCCTTATGTCAACTGTGAAGCCTCTTCCAGTAAGTGACGTCTTCCTATGCAGAGCATGTTTCAGTTATCACGAGGAAAGAGGACTGCTTGGTTCACCATTCCTCAAAGCTGAATAAACAGCGGGGCCAGATGCAACCCAGCCTTTTCCTTCCTGCACTTCTCACAGAATGGGAGGTACGGTGACATAATGGCCATAAAATGCAGAAACTTACCTCAAAATCCTATTTCTTTAAGTTAAGAAAGGATCAGCAGAGCACAAAAGCTTTGATACACGATCGATGGCATTTGTAGGACAACAAGTTTTTTTGGAGCTGTTGTATCGGTGAACTTTCCCCACTGTGGGATCAATAAAGTTATCTTTATCTTTATCAACATAATCAGGCTCATCGTAGCAGGATGGTGGCCTCACACAGCCAGACTCTACACAACACAATGCTCTGGTATAGAGTGGACAAACAAACAGAAAACACTCATTTGTTTGTATTGTTTTAAACCTATCCCAGCTGTCTTGGGTGGGGCTAAGCTAGGGATGCAACCATGGTGTGAAGGGATCATTGTTTCAGCAGATCATTTGTACAGTGGGAGGTAAAAAAAAAAAAAGAAACTGTAGGGCTGCTTACTGCACAATCCAAATCCTCACTGCTGCATGGAAGCCGTTGTTTTCTGTAGTGACGGGGATTTTGAAAATGTAGCGTCAATAGCAGAAGAGGAGGAAGGGCATGGCCCATGGCTGGCTTACACCTGCCGCCTACATCAGGTGAGCGAGCCTAGCAAAACGCTGATCTGTCACCTCCGCACTTGCCTGTACAAACATTTGCTTTCATCTTAAATAATCTTCCAGCTCTCCATATTGCAGACACCTGATTCTTAATTCCCATCCATCCAATAAACACATTGTGCACACACACTGTAGATAAATAAATGTGTCCTGTCCTTTGGAAATCCTGTAAAACTCACACCCAAATATAGTGATAGTAACTCTAACAACTACAGTCTTTCAGGCACCCATGACCAACTTTGTGCTATTTTAGCAGAAATACTGTAAAAACCATAAACATGATGTACAGTGCAGTATAATGGAGCATATCAGCCGTAAGTCATGTGGTGTGGATGCAGACTGAGCAGATAGTGATAGACTGGCTCCTCTCATTTCATTCTACAATAACATACACAAAATAAATTGAGAGACAGTCATTCATAGCATCAACTTAACATTCAAGGTTCTGAATCTCTGATAGGACAGTGCAGACAAATCCGTCTCTTCCCAGGAGGAACAAAAAACGGACTCCTGTTTACACTTCACCAAAGGGAGACAAGTGGCTGAACCAAATGATCCCTGATGTTTGCTCTGGGACAGGTGTCACATGTGTGGCCCAGAGGAGGGAGGAGGGCCCCGCAAAGGCCAGCAAAGCCTCACAATCACAATCCAATTTCTCAGAGCGGCAGAGCCACTTGACAACTAAGACACAATGCAGAAACCTCACCAACCTACTGCAGGTGCAGGAAAAAGGCACTAAGACAATTACAAGCTGAACAAATGCAGACACCTGCTGGGGAATTAGCTGTACAGGGGTCAGCTGAGGACTAAGAATGAGAGCAAAATATCAGCAGAGGTGACTTTCTGTCAGTGCTCCCGTCCCCTCTCGCCAGAAATGTCCCACGGCTTAGAGGTAGGCGTGAGCTTGAACACTGGAGGGATTTGCTTCGGTGGGGAGCGTGGGGATTTGGACTTAGCAGCCACCGATCTAAGCTCACCTGTGAGCGGCCTGGCATGGAAGGACGCGGTGTTACGTAACACAAAAATCAACCCTTGCGTTCGGTGACTTGCCAGAATTTTAGTGATTAACCTACTTGAGAAAACGAGTGCATGTGGCATATCTCCAGCAACTCCTCCTATAAAGAAAATGAGCATTTACCAGAAAGCTTGAAAGCGAACTGTTGGGACGTTTGTTGTCCATATGGCTACCATGACCAAACCACTGTGCACGTCACCAAGTTAATTTACCTACAGCTCAACACTTGCCTTGTAGACGTTGTCACCTCACAAACACTGAAAGAACATCAACAATCCCACAACTTCCATGAAAACTAAGTTCCTCTGCAGCTGCACAGCTTCCTTCTCAAGTTTGTGCAAAAATGTGACACATGAACAACATCAGTGCTCAATGAAGATGAACAAATACAGGAAATGTTAAATTAAGTTTGTGAAGAAAGAAAGCGCTTACCTGGCGATCCATGGAGCTTGGCTTTCTTTACTGAAAAACACACAAAGAAAACTATGATTAGGCCACTGACAATCACTCAGAGTCCACGTCTTTAAAATCTACGGACTGCTAATACGTTGTTGAACCAGAAGATAATTGAAAATCACACGTCAGCAATGCAAACAGACCTAGGCATGTAAAACAGAGCCGCTCTCGTGTTGCTGAAGCCTCTCACAGTCATTAATATACAGACAAGTGGGCCGTGAGCTGGTGAGGCTCGTGACACCTGAATCACACAAACGCGTCACGTTGTCGGCCAAGAGCAGAAACGCTTAATGTGCAGCTTGATCAAAATAGGGGAGATATTTTATTGGTCCACTGCTTTGGTTACGAGGAAAACAATAGCATCCGAATGTCTGCTCTTATACAAATGCACACCAGGAGGAAAACAGTCAAAGCATCACCTTCTCCTACTTTTATTTTTAGATGATTTATATTTCTGAAGTTTCTTTGGAAGTTTTCACCAAGGAACAAACTACAGGGATAAAAATATATAGCCAGGACTTAAGTGCCAACAACTGCAGTTCCTCCAACTGCCACTTGAGGCAGGTTGCTATAAAGTAATTCAGAATGCACAGAATCCAATGTTAAGATAAGATCAGATAGATAAGACGCCTAACTTTAGAAATACACATGTGCAGACAGGTACAGCCGCTGTCCTGGTCTCTACAGCTACCAATCCAATGGCAACTAGGCAAAGGGGATGTTTCTGTAACTGGTCCATTTAAATTGTATTAGAGCTTAAAGTCATGCATAATTAAGGACATGGCTGCCTTGAGTGACAGGTGGGTGTTATTCATATTCTGACTGATGAGTTCTGCTATGAGATGCCACAGTCACTTCAGAATTATCTGTTAAAGCCTGCATATGGGAACATTTGTGGGCATGTCTAAAAGACACAACATAATCCTTTAAATCATATCAGCAGAACGTAAGCAGGGCTTTTCCTGCACAGAGAAGCTGGCCTCAGAGGAAAAGAGTGACGGAACTGAAAGTGACAACAGCAAGTCACATTTTGAACTTGTGTTGGAAACTGGGGTGGTCTCTGTTTATCAGACAGTCACTACCAACAGAAACATGCCGACGACTGAAAAATCCGGTTGAACAGAGAGTCCGATGGTGCTCCCCGTCATGCACAGTCACACCTTCAAATACCCGCTCTGAGCTCCAGAAACCTCTGATACCACATTAAAGATCGGCACCTCCATTGTATCGGAGCTGACAATACATTTTTATTTGATTGCGCAACAACTTCAATATAATCATGAAGCATAAGCCAAGACAGCTGCATTACACAACGCAACAGCTGGTAAATAAACACATGAAAAAACAATAAGAAGTGGACTGAGGCAGATGGACACTACGGTACAAACAAACAAAAACAAGCCCAAAAAATAATCACAGCAGGCATCTCGTAAAATCTCAAAACCAAGTACGTGAGAGGAAAAAACACTTGCTGCTGTATTTGGGTTTATTTTTAGAACTTCCATCTTTAGCCCCTGGACGCATCCATACAATAACATTTATGGGATTGTGAAGCGCTTTGGAGGGATTAGTTGTGATTGCTGTGGCAGGGTTATGTGTTCAGGCATACAACCTACTAAAGCTCTGGAGCCGGAGTTGGCAGATGGGCAGGACGGGATGAAGGAGGCACAAATGAAGCTTTGATATTTTCATGAAGCGTTCCCCGTCTTCTCTCTGTGCACATGAAACAAGTCTGAGGGACAAAGTTCTGATTTGTTCCCTCATCTGTTTGCTATCATCCAATTATTCTTAGTTATACGGATTATAACACAAAGAAAGTCTGAATGTGAGTACAAAGGCAGCTCCATGCATCAAACTTCAGATTGTAACTTCGATTTGAACTGAACTTCACTAAAGGTCAGAAAACCTGAGCCGTTTCCAATGTTGTCTTTTATGATAACAATGGGGGGGAAATGTGATTATAAAAGGGCAAAGACTAAAAGAAAAGACTCCTAATAGCTTCCAACGTATCTCCTACCTGATGCATAGCTCAGTGTGAAGCGGAAAACGAGCAGTGGAAATGCTGAGAGAAAGCAGCTCAGTGTGTTTCTGTGGTTTTTTCTGCCTTTCCACTACAAGGCCAACGGCTGCAACAGTGGCCTTATGTGTCCTGATTTGCATGAGGATTTGCAGGACTGTGGTGCACAGGGGCAATAAACCAGAGGGGCCATTATGGTGGAAAGTGATGCTTATCATGTTGTGTCGGTGGCTGCAGAGGCCATTCAGTTTGCTATTTGGCAGGGCTAGTTGCCCAATTACCCAATAAAGCTACTGTTTTCTTGCAGCTCCTTTCTCTCCCCAGTGCGCTCACCTGCTTCTGAACATGTCTGGAACTTCCTTCAATGTCTTTAAGCTGGTGCGTGTGTTGTCGCTGTTAGCCATGTAGAACTTTTATTTTAGAACAGTTTAATTCATGTTGTTGTGTGGAACTTGTTGTTCAACTTCATTAGCACCAACACCCCTGTTTGAACCCTCTTTTCTCTCCGTGTTATGAAATGATTAACGCTCCGACTGATTATTTACATCAATACTGAGATCACAATTAATTATCACAATTGTCCACTGATTTTAGGGACAATATACTTTCATTGGCCCTATTTAGATAAACGGAGCACTGCTTTCACTTCCCCGTCGTGCCAATTTGTGCCGATGTAGGACTTTTGCATAAAAATAACACTTAAAAAAAAAAAAGGTTCATTTGAATTCACTGCAACTCCTAACGGCAAAATAAAAGTAAAATTACACCCAGAAGGTCTCACTTGTTGATGATTTAGCATTATTTCAAAAATGCCTCACATGCAGGCTCCAGTAGATGCTACGCTAGCAGCCTCTCATCGCCTCACTTGGTACTGCACTTTAATGTCCGACTTTTCCAGCTGAATCGAAGCGATTTTATCTACACGACTGTTTCCTGTCAGCTTATTATTCTAGGATTCAAACTTGTTTAACTGAAAACGAAAATCATAAATGGGACTGAGCCTCTAGAGCAGGGGTCTCCAATCCTGGTCCTCGAGGGCCACAATCCTGCATGTTTTAGATGCTTCCCTCTTCTAACCCTAATACCTGATTCAAATGATCAGGATGGTTATCAGGCTTCTGCAGAGCTTGATGATGAGCTGATCATTTGAATCAGGTGTGCTGGAAGAGAGAAACATCTAAAACATGCAGGATTGTGGCCCTGGAGGACCAGGATTGGACACCCCTGCTCAAGGGCCTCTTTACAGCCCTTGAGAACAGTGTTTGTTCAGTTTAAAAGTACATCTCTATGTAGTGTGTAGGGTTAGGGACGTGATTGACTACACAAGCAAACACCCCAAACAACTGCCATCAGATTTAGCTTCAAATATTTCTACATGCCTGATTGTTATTTTTCTTAAACAGCACCACACATTTCAAACTGGAGAGAAAAGCTCTGACAAGAACAGAAAAAAGACAGCATGTGTGAATTAAGCAGCACCGTCCCAACAGAAAACTCAACCAACAAGTGAAAACAACAGGACATCACCAGTGGAAGGTCGGCTGGAAGCAGGAACGTAGGAAACGGAAGTGACAGCAGAGTCTGCTGCTGCTGCAGCCAGCAGTGCTGCACTTCCTGTGTGACGGCTGTTGGATTTGATCAGGTGGAGGCGGTGGAGGAGGGAGAGAGGCGGAGAGAAAGCAGCAGATGGCCAGGGGATTACTCCCACAATCTCTAAGCGCTCGCTCGGTCTCACTCTGCCTCTTCTCTCATAATTCCACTACTCGCCACACTCAACCACTCGGCCTGCAGCTCTGCATCACTTTAGCCCTGCACGGCCCGTCCCTCGTCCTTTATAAAATTATTTCCTTGTAATGTCTCCTCGATCGCTGACTGCTGCAGAATCACAGCCAAACTCCAAACAAAGAGCCGTGGCGAACAGCACCATGGAGTTTTGGTGTGTTCTTAATCTGTGCTTCAAGCACTGAATGACTGAGATCTCTGCCACGGCACAGAGCTGCTGCATCACCTGTTTGAGTAAACCTGACTTTGACTCCAGGTCAACAGAAGGATCTGCATACAAAAGGCACGATGATGCATGAAGTGCGCTCCACATCCTGTGTGGACACTGTTGAGCTGGACGTAGCAAACATGGAGCCAAATGTGCAGCTTTCACAGATAATTACTGCTCGTGTTATTTGCAGAAAGCAGATCCACAATACTGTGAGCATAATGCCCTAAAAAACACCATTCCTGATTTTTAAATGTTAGTTTATTTTGTCTGCATCTGGAATTAAATGTCAGTCCCAGTCTATAACTCACACAGCATAAGGAGATCTGCAGATCTATGAAGAACATCTTTCTTTCCACCGTTCTGTCGTTCTGCTTTTCAGAACTTTGCATGCTCTACTCTGTAACTTGTACATCTATTGAATGCCTACAAGAGCTTTCTCCCAGTTTGTTCTTGTTAAAGGGTTTTGTCCGGTCCAGATTAAGGATTTAAGAACAGATATATCATACATGTAGATTGTAGATGCCCTGAAGGCAAACTTGTCATCGGTATGCGATACTAGGCTATGCAAATAAAAACGACTCGACAGCGTCATGTAATCCACATCTGCTGCCATTTACAAACTTTATTTACTGTAACTGCATCAATGTCCCACATCCCAGCAGCCTCCTGCACTGATCACACGTCAGGAACAGCATCCCTTCAGTTGCAGTACTACAGCATCGTGGGGTCCATGTGAGCCTTGTGTCCACTCAGCCCTGCCCTGATCCACAGCAAGAGTCCCCCCACACATGTCCACTTGTAAGGGCAACCACTTAGCTGTTGTGTAAAGACATCGCCATGGAGATGAAGCATCTCAGCTAGCAATAAATAGGCAACAATGTCAAGCTGTGCTATCAGGGGATGAGTCACAATGTCAGCTAACCACACAAGCCCTACCACAGCACCCTTTGCTCTGTTATCCACTGGCTGCATAACTCCTGCCGGCTTTAACTTCACCCATCGATAGGTGGACAGTCTGAAAGCTCCAGGAGTCGTTCAGTGAAATAATCATTCTTGATTGCCAGAACCATTGATTTAAACTTTGTCAAGTAAGTGGCACCAAACTGACTTGTTCCCTTTCGTGAGCTTTTCTCCCTCTCAGCTTGGTGCATCGACGTCCACATTACTCCTGCAGCTCATTGTGGGATCTGAGAAATACCTTCATCTTTCTCTTCTGTTTCTTTATTTAATTTTTGGAAGGAGCAGACAAGTTTAAACGGAGTTTCTTCTGGATTTTATGTTCACGTATCCAAGAGCTGTTGTTGTTTCCTACTTTTGGATGACTCTTTGTGTAGCAACCACTGACACAATGATGATCTGATGATCTGCGTGATATTTATATGAAGGTCAGTCGACTGCATCATTGGAAATACCAAGCTTTCCCGTACCGCCCCGCCTCTACAGACACCCTCTCACAGTACATGAACTGAGCCACACTGAACATCAACAGGCATAATGAGCGTCAGCACGCATTTCACGAGTGAGCCAACGTTTACATTTGATTTATTGATCAAGCCATCACATTGTGTATTTGCTTCGCACAAGTTAATCAGAGTTGAAGCTGGAAAATGTAGAGACCAAGAGCCCAATGAGTGGCAATCAGAGGCTGCCGTGTGAGAAAACGGACCTCTCAGCTGCACCGAGGGTGTCGAGTAGTCACTCCTGTTCACACTGAAGAACAAGAGGCAAACAGCAAGAAACCTACGCGCTAGCTTCCTAGCTGCCAGCTAACTGGCTATCTACCCAGCAGACCAACGTGGGTCATGACAGAGTGGGGTAATTTAATTCTAGGTTTGTGTTTTATTATCCTCTTTAAATGTATTATAAGATTTGTGCTCTGAGAGGAGAACTATTACTAAACAGTGTCCTGGATACATTTCCAAAGGCATAAAGACACTTAAGATTAAAACAGAAGGTGTTTGCTTGGCTGTGCAATCGCATAGCGGAGGGTTCTGAACAATATTTGAACACTATTACATGAGTGTGATGGATGTGACATGAGGCCTTAAAAAGATGGTGTGATGATAGAAAACTGCAATTCACTTGTAGCCCATGTGTTTTGGAGCTTTTGACACCCAAATAAAAATAATTAGACACGAGAGGATCTATCAAACCGATGCTGAGAATGTAAATCCTGTCTGCCAACAAACTGGATCTCCCAAAATCCTCAGGATACCTGAGGAAGTGTTCAGTTTAATCTGGGCTCCATCGCTGGCAGGTAACAGAACACTAGTAGCTATCGTAGATAGTTTTCCACAGAGTCTTCAAACAAAAAGTGGCAAACTGTTCCTACAAGTTAGGTTTTGGTGTGTACGTATACTACATCAGTGTCCATATTACTGGACCAATTTGATCTCAGCTTGTTAAACCAGTACACTTAATTGTACTGCATCACTCCTGTAGAGGACATCAAACGTTTTACAAGGTGCCACCAGAGAGAGAAATGAAAATCAAACTACCACTGGACAGTAGACAACAAATCAGAGATGATATGGAATACTTTTTTGATGTATAGGCACAGTGCATGGAAGTCTCTGGAACAGTATTGAAGTTGTATGTGCGATACATCCATTTCCTGGTCAGCATTACTCTCACTTAGCAGACAAAACGCACGTTTTTTTGTTCATATTGTAAGAAAATCAATGGTTGATGGTATGACCTACAAAAGAGTACGACCCTTTAAAAGCCAGCCAGCAGCCTGTCAGTGACGATCTAACTTCTCACACAGGCCACCAAGATCATGTGACGTGTGCATGCAGGTGCTGCTAACAGTGGCTTTATTAGCTCCCTAAACCCTAACCCAACAGGACTGGACTGAGCTGCTGGCCGTCAGTCTCTATGTCACACAGCTGGATACTGCATAATGTGGTTTGCTCCTGTAAAGGATGCACGACCATCCTTTTTTTTTAAAAATGTTAACCCACCCCCGTCTGATGTGCGTCACCCGTGTTGTAGCTGAAATGCATCAATGCCAGGAGGCCTGGAAGCTCGCTGGAAAAGGTCTGTTAAGGTATTGTTGTCATCATTTGGTCCTGAAAGTTCTGCTGCTGTTTGTTTTATTTAATTCATTTTATGTTTGATTTGACCTTTTTATTACACTGACTGATTAGAAAAACCCATCCACATATACATTAGTAATGTTGAGAAGATAACACTGAGGCCAGTCTTTGAGCATTTCATTTAACAGCGAAGACTGGAAGTAAAGCTCTGGTCCCAGTTTGTTCATAAACATCATATTTCCATCAGTAAAGAGCGTCATTCAGGACTAATCTGTTATGTTCACATCCGTTTTTCAGGATGATAAATGTCCTTTTGCCATATTTTGCAGTGTAGTTTAGTGGTTACTAATCCAGTCTAGATTCACTTAGAGAACAATGATCCTTTTATTGTTTTATTGTTGTAAATACTACATATTGTATGTGTCCATCTGCAGCTCTTGTTGTGAAATAGGATCACCTGTAACTGATGTAAATGATGTTCCAGCACCCAGCATAGTACACACACAGTAAACATAAAGCAGTCTGCTGGGCCGGAACAGCTGGTACCGTGTGGTGCCTTGCTCCAAATAAATAAAACCATCACATCACATCCGAGGCAGAAAATTACCTCTGATAGGACTTTTTTAAATTTGGGGTTTTAAAAACCTGAAAATCAGGACAGGACAAACGTACCAGTGTCTATATTTTAGTTGTATCCTTGAGGGTGAACCACTGAACAGACTGAATAAAGAAAACATCAGCCTAAGTTTGAACAGACTCACATCAGAAGTGGTTTGGAAACGTGTCCAAGTGCAGATAAAAAGAGAAAACTTACCTCTGACACACAGTAACGACATGACAGCGCGCTGCCAGCGACGGCCCGGACTTGGACAGTTAGTGGAGCAGGCTCTCAGCACAGATTTACTGCGGAGCTACCGTGATAACATCCTGAACACAAACACTTCCTCGAGGCGCCGCTGAACTCCTCCGCTCGCTGCTCACAGGTGGGTTTGTGGAGCCGGACTCGGGCAGAGAGCAGCGGCAGCCCTCCGCCGCCGCCACGCCATTATTAAAACTCATCACAGACTCGCAGCAGGCGGACGGACCGACGGGCAGGGAGGGGCGGGGTCAGGGCACCTGTTACAGGCGGATCAGGTGTCCAATGGGAATGCAGAGGGGCGGGGCCTCCGCAAGAGTTTCCACCAATCGCTGAGAGGGACGAGCCGGAGGAAGACAGGTGACGCAGACAGGTCCTAATAAAGCACCTTGAACTTTATGATAGAAGGAAATGTGCAGTTTGATTGCATTATTATATTATTATCATATATTTATGAGTTAATTAGTTTTCTGTATGTTTTAAAGCACATTCCTATTTAATTATTGGGTCTTTATGAATATGAGTCACCTGAAGCATCACTTAGATCTGAACTATAATATAATTTTTCAGATTTAACTTTTATCAATGGTTCGCGCAGTATCAGTTCCAGTATCATGTGTAACATCTCATTTTTATGTGCAATTTTCTGATTAAATGGGCAATATTTCTTTTTATTTCTCAGGTGCTTCATTTGTTGTTTTGTGTCTTTTGTAGCTGTTTTAATCAGTCACTTTGGATTACTCTAAATCTAACCAATCTGCCTGTACATATTAGAATAAGGATTACATTTGGGGGTTTGGGTTTGGGTTTTGTTTTGGGTTTTTTTGCTTTTTTTAATCTGTAAAGCATTTTGAGTAACCTTGGTGTGTCATAAGGTTGTTTTATGTAAATAAACTTGCTTTGTTTGCTATGTATTTAGTCATTTTTAGGCTAGCTGACACAGCATTTAGATATATATATCTGTTAGTTTTTTGCATGGTTTATATTCTATATAGTTGTTTTTTTTGTTTGTTTTTTTTTGTTCATTTATTTTTGCTGTTGTTTTATTGTTTCATTACAATTAATTTGCAGAAGTGCCAAGCCAGGTGAGGCTTTTCAAGGAAGTGAACAAGGTCGTTTATATAGCACCTTATCATACACAGATTACACACACAGGGTCATTCAGAGTGCCTTACAGATAAAGTATGAACATGAATCAAATGAAAGACATTTAAAGAAAAACTATACAGACAAGTTAAATACAGTCTGCAAAACTCTGGCAGCGCAGTAACGCTATTAAAACAGCAGAAAAAGACAAACTATAAAGAAATTAAAACATGTACAATAACATACCAAAAGTAATTCATTAATAAATTAAGTGAATAAAAATACTGAGTACAAGTACCATGTACTGGTAAATAGCCTAACTCCTAGTTCTCCAGTATCATCCAGGTCCTCCCACACCCACTAGAACAGAACACTCCAGTGGGACAGATGCCATCTGACATCCAGGTGGACACTCAGTGCACAACATCCACATGTTTGAACAGATATGGCAGCACTGGGGCCAGAGGTCCAAATGAGAAGGAGTAAGAGTGCAGTAAATCTGAGTGAAGACAAAACAAACAGCGCCACCCTGTGAGTAAAGTCAGACACTACATTTGATCCATTTGCTGAATCTTTAAATGGAAGGACGGGACAAAAAGATAATTAAGGCCTGACATAATAAAGAATGCTCGTGTGTTTAATACCTTGGATTCAGACAATTTAGGCTCCTTGTTTAGGCCTTTATTTGTTTCTTAAATGAGATTAAATATTCATCACATGTTCCATGTTACTATGTAGTGAAAACAGCTCATCGCTGAGTCTTTTTGTTTACAGGCCTCTGTACATTTCAACTACATGAACAGCATTTTATGATAAAATTACAGCGTGCATTTTAACTTACATTATGGAGCATATTCTGATGACATTAAGTCAGAACTTGACTCATGTAACTTTTGTGTCACTTGGAGTATTTTTAAAAAGATTTTTTTGAGAGTGAACAAATGGATTAAAATCATAAATTCAGTTTTATTGAAAAAAAAAATTGGGGATTTTAATTTTAGATCAAATCGTCCTGCCCTACCTGCAGCTATGGATCACTGTGTCAATGTTTTTGAGAGAATCTGTGTTGATTTAAGTATTATTGATTAGTAGATCCCCAACTCTCGTGGCTGTGATCTGCTGCTCTCCTGCTTTGTCGACTGAGATGACCTGGTCTGCATCTGGGACCTTCTGATCCAGAACACACTCACATATTTACATACAGATACATTTATTTAATCAGTAAACAACACAGAGACAAAATAATAATCTGCACACACTTGAACTGATTCTATACACACGCAAGCAGACACACCCACACACACACACACACACACACACACACACATCCTCCTTCAGCCAAGGTGAGTGAAATAGTTTCTATGTTTGATTATTAAGTCAAATGTTACCATGTAAAGGCTCGTGAGATTGGCACAGATTCATTTCAATTGCTATGTTATGCTTTCTCTGTGAGCGTTGACTAATACATTTTCTGTTTTGGATTTTCACGTTTAGATGCTCCGTGCGAAGGCCCACCGACGAGCCCAGGCTCTGAGGCGGAGGATGGCAGAGGGGCACCCCTGGACCGCCCTGGCACCTGTCCCCGAGTTCGTTGCTCGTATGTGTCAAAATCTCATTTCAGATGTTTCACTAATATGGTTCACAGCTAATATCCTTTAATGATGTTCAGTATAACTTCTATGCCAATGAAACAGGGCGCGGTACGGGGTACCGCCGTCGTCCGCGGAGATGGCAAACTTCTGAGCTGACCCACCGGACCCTGACGTTTGTCTCTCCAGTGCCTCGTCCGGACCAGAAGGTATTAGTTTTTCTTATTCATAGAGAAATTGCAGCTCATAAAGTGTCATGGTTGGTTTCGCTGTTTTTAAGCAATGTCTCTGTCGTTCCAGCTCGTCTTCGTCCTTGGAGACAGCCACCTCAGGTCCATCGTGGAGGCCTTTGTGCCCATGCCGGTAGGTTCTCTGTCCTTTGCTTTTCTGTCTGTTCCAGGTGTGTCGGCCGCCGAGCTGAGGACAGAGGCCATGCATGCTGATCTGCAGCATCGGAGCCAGCGACACCAACAGACTGAACAGACTGATCAGAAAGGCTGGCCCCGTAATCGGCTGCAAACCAGACACCATGGAAGCGGTGGTGGGGAGGAGGTCTCTGAACAAGCTGTTATCTGTTCTGGATCAGCCCGACCACCCTCTCCACCCCCTTCTGGACAGGCAGCGGTGCTCCTTCTCAAACTGGCTGATTCAGCTCCGCTGTCACAA